TATACCTTTACATGCTTCATCATAAGGCCCCTTTCTGTGGAAGCATCAACAGGAAGTCGTCTGGCAGACACAGTCATTTTTTTCTTGCACTCATCTAGGCTACTGTAGATGTTATCATGTAAAAGATAAACATTTCTTGATTTGAATTTATGTTCGACATGCTCACGGTAGAGTTAGAAAAAAAACCCTTTTGTGTCAAACATTTTGTCTGTCATTCACGTGAAAATGAAAGACAGCACTTCCGGAAATAGCGAAGTGAAATGATGGTCTTGTGGTTTTGTCCCATGATGCTCGGAGAGGTGAGCATACAGTATCACCACATTGCTGTTCACACCATACGAGATGCTGACAATGAATGCTGACTGGTGGATTTTCCCTTTCGCCTTGTGCTTTATTTGTGTGTCTTCAAATGGTAAGTCCTTTTGTGACAATATTGAAGAAGAACATTATTTATATAAAACAGTCCACGAGTACAACTTTACCTCTTTTGCTATATTATTTGTTTGGTCTGTTTGTTCATTATTCAGTCTATTTAAGTTCTCTTTAAAGTCTTGTACAGGTGAGTTTACATATCGAAATCCGCTGATAACGGCAAGATATTTTTACCATGTACACTGTACTACGATGTTTGTAATATATTTAAATGTGTTGTATATCGTATGATATATATACTGCCAGTGTCACATTCATTGCCACCATTTAAAACACTCTGTTTATTAATTAACCTAATAATATTGGGCTGATTTGTAAGAACAATTCGCAGATTAAAAGCTTTTGTTTTAAATCAGTTTCAGTGTAAGGCCATATATGTTTAATTTTTTACCTTTAATTAAGTTACCATGTTCATATTTTCTGGCCTTTCTGATGAATTTGCCTTTAATTATTTTCTGGCTGCAATTAATAGATTTATTCTCAACCTGAATGGTTAATTTTTTTTTAAGATATTTTTTTCGGGCATTTTTAGCCTTTAATGGATAGGACAGGCAAGCGTGAGGGGGGGAGCGACATGCAGCAAAGGGCCACAGGCTGGAGTCGAACCCCGGCCGCTGCGGCAACAGCCTTGTACATGGGGCGCCTGCTCTACCACTAAGCCACTGACGCCCCCTGAATGGTTAATTTTAAGATATAAAAGTTTGAATATCTTCAGTAATAAGAAGGAAGATATTCTGGCACTCTATGTTGTTTAAGTGACCTACACTTGACACTTGTTCTTGTATTTCTCTTCTCATGTTAAGAAGAGCCGAACTTTGAGAACTCCTGTGTGCAGGATCCGGATGTTTGTGAGACACACACACTCAGCGTTCAGCTTGGCTCCTCTGTGTTCCTCCCATGCAACTTTTCAACACGCAGCCTCAACTGGGTGTCATGGACCCAAACTCCAGGGGTGGACCTGGTCCATCTCACATCTAAGGGTCGTATTAGGTTCCTCGACCACAGGTACGGTCGGGTGAAAGCCTTTCCAAACCAGGGCTCAGAGGGGAACTACTCCATCTGCATCGATGAGCTGGGCTCCTCTGACCTGGGGTGTTACCGCTGTGAGCAGGGACATTACTGTCATCAAGTGGTGTTGGTTGATGAAGCTGGAGGCGGTAAGATGATTTCTGTTTGGAAGTTTTAAGACAATTCTTTCTCAATGTAGAGCAGCAGCCTGTGCAGACAGACACATATCCTCTTTCTTTCTTATGGTCACAAACCTCATAGGCAAAACACGTGAGAGGACAAGCAGATAAGCTAGAGTTTCCTGTGCAATACATCTTTGTAAAACCACAACCTATTGTGCAGGTGCTCTGAGAGAAGAGATGAGGCTCCTGATTTACATCTGTGTTGCTGTGGCTGCTTTGATCCTGCTGAGCGTCGGTGGCTACTGCTGCATGAAGTGCATAAGTGAGTAGTCTGATTGCCCAGTTTGACACTCTCAGTCCACGCAGATGAGAGAAGAAAAGTTTGCAGTTTTTTTGTTAGTTTATTTGATGGATTGTCTGGTTATTAATTTGTTTCAGTGTGCTGTAAAACGAAAACACTGGACATTACAAACAATCCTGAAGGTGCAGCTACTGAGGGTAAGCAATAATTTCACAATTTTACCATTACATTTGATCTATCTCCTCGGGCATGTTGCTTGCAACACGTTTACCTTGACATTTGAGCACAGGAATATACAGTAGACGACGGTACAGCCAGTTAAAGCTAAAATTTAAATGAAATTTGTTTTAAAAAGTTGTATCTGTGAAAAGTTCTTTAAAGAGACAGTTCATCCCAAAATCAAAAATCCATATTTTGCCAGTCACTCAAGATAATCCACAGACCTTGTTGTGAGCAGTTTCATATAGGAACTATTGTCTTTCAAACTACATCTGCAAACTGTATCACCATACAGAAGGAAGTGTGCATCTACTCATGGACGAGAGGCTTGTCTGAGTTGTGATGTTAGCTAGCTCAGCGGTGCATGAGGTAGCAGCACAGGGCCGTAAATACAGACAGTGCAGACAGTGCAGTTGCACTGGGGCCCACATAGCAGGTGTAGTTCGCTAGAAAGAAAATAGTTCCTGCTTTAAATTGCTCACTAAAATGTCTGTGGATTATCTTGAGAAACTTTTTGGTGGGTGATAAAAATTCAACCACCACTACCTCTAAAGCTTATTAAGACTAATTTACACAATCTTGTGTGTTTAATCTGTACAAAATATAAAATCTAACAAGTTAATTTGATTTTGTTAAACTTTAAACAGAGCCATTGCCCTGTTTCCAGTCTTTGTGCTAAGCTAAGCTTACCAGCTGCTAGCTGTAGCCTTATAGTTATCAGACTGATATGAGTGGTATCGATCATTTCATCTAACACTTGACAAAAAAGCAAACATGCAATCTTCCCAAAATGTCTCAATATTCCTTCAAGTTGCTTCATATAATGTCCTACTGCAGGTGCCAGTGCTCCACCAATCAGAGTGCCAGTGGATCAACTGCAGCACGGTAATTTATCTCAGTAACAACACAACAGAGTCACTTGGACACTTTATCTGATGCACCAGTTGACAAGGACAAGCGATATTTCTGTTATGTTTTCTTGACAGGTGTCACTATACACACTGTGTTTCCTTTCCCCACAGGAGCGGGCAATGATAATCTTGTTTATGGTGCGTTCACACAGCTCTCCTTTCTTTAATCCTTTCTTTCCATGTTGTCTATTGATTCCTGTGGTTAAAAGGCTAATGTCTTTGAAACTCATCTTTTTTAAATACCAGAAAATGATGACCAAGGCCCATCCAACCAGCAGAGTGACCCCAGAAATTATTGCAATCCAGTATCAGGAGTTCTGCCTGATCCCGCTCAGAGCACCAGCGGGATTTATCCAAACTTGAACCAGTTTGCGAGGACGGAAAGTCACAGAACAAAACAAGGATTTCACAGAGGTGTGTTATGTTCAGCAGAATTACTGCAGTTTGTGGTGACTTGTATCGTCTTATCATGACAAGCTGGAGTAACTCTGTGTCCTCTCACCGCTCCAGAACTCTTCAGCAGATTACGGCAAGCAAGTCTCAGTCGGCATTTTTATGGTAATCTAAGCATCTTTCATTGCATCACGTAGTTTTAATACTGTCAGGAATTTCACTTATTCATTTTATTACAGTTAACCAAGGTGAAATCAACAAGCAGCAAGCCATGTCAACTCAGGCGGAGAATCAACGCAAAGGTATTTAGATTTGATTTATCTTGTCAGAATGATATATCCATATGTGAAAATAAATAACCTGATGCAAAAAAAAAAAAAATTCAATATACGCTGATGTGTTTTGCAGCCGGTTTGGGAAAGAAGAAAGCCAAAGAAAGTGAGTGCTGACTTCATCTGTGGGCATGTTCTGGATGAAATAATACTGTATGTGCACTCAACCGCTCTTCCACTTCTCCGTTGTTTCCCTGTCAGCTTGTGACTACAAAAATCCGATTTACAACAGGAGCACAGACCAGCTCAACCGCCTGTAAAGAACCAAGGAGGATTTAAACAGCTGTCGAGATCTTTCCAGTATCAATCATCCTTTCCTATGACAGTTATTGATTGCTAATTTTACATTTTAAACTTGATACATGTTTTACTGTATGTGTTTGCTGTATAATTGTTTTGTATTTTATATACATCTGTTAAACAATGAGTAATTTCTGTTTGGTAAAGTTCATTAAATAAAGATTATCACATGAAAAAAAGATCAATGTATCGTGTGTTGAATGAGACAAATCTGTGTATGCGAGATAGGAAAGTAAAACAGTACTTGTTGACCACGTAAAGTGCTTTTATGATCACAGTTTGACTTGCAGATAAAATAACGATAATGATGATTATACATTTTATTTCTTGGCACTTTTCTCACTCAAGGACACCTTACATCAGTAGTTCCCAAATAATGGGTTGCTGTCCAAAAGTGGGTTGTGGGTCGATTCTTAATGGACCACAAGTGACTCGTGAACACTTATTTTGAAGTACAGTGAATTTCAAGGGCAGAGCTTTGATTTTAAAGTTCAGTTTCCTGCTGTAGAGTGAGTGAATATCAGACAGCTACTTGACAGAGACAACAGACTAGCTTGATGACACAGCCAAACACAAGTGTGATGCTGATGTATTAAACTGTGTGGACCTTAAAGTAATGACTAAGGAGAAATCTGGACCCTGTGGGGAGACCAGTTGGGAACTACTACATGACTCAATTAAAAAAACAAGCAGCAGTGTGTCCATACATCATAAAGTCAAGCAAAGCAAAATATGCAATATTAAGTTAAAAAAAGAAAAAAAAAAATAGGTAAAAACTAGTTCAAAATCACCATTATAAAGTCATCATCACTGCAAAACTCGATGTGTGTGTCACGATTAGAGTCAAGAAGCCTTTTGTGTGACAGTTTAGCGCCTCAGGTTCATTTTTTAATTGTGGGAGAATACAGGGAGAACATACAACAGCCCCAGAAACCAGCTGATTTAAACACAGGAGACTTGTACTGTGAAGCAGCACGGTGGGTGTTTGAGTTGCCTTTCCTCTCAAGAGAGTCCTGACAATTAGGCCAAATGAGAGGCAGCTGCTCCACCTGTCTGAAGATGAAGGCCCACAGCACGGACTCCATTTTGGTGACATTCGTTTCATTATCAGTGCTTCTGTTGAAACATGAAGCGCATGCTGCTTTAAAACAATTCCAAGCAACACTTTATAACACCATGAAAAATGACACATCAATTTGCCATGATGGCTTCATGTCTGTTTACATATCAAAGGTGCACTTTGCTGGTCTTCCTTTCACCATCTATGTTCAAGGTAAGTCAGACACTACAAATATATCTAATCGATGATGACACAGCTTTGAGGTGTCTGCTGTGCTCTTGTTTGTGTCCAATTTACACACAGATGAACACAGCAGATATTACCAAGCCATCACTATAGCAAAACAGTGCCACTACTTCCTTGGAGAAACAGACAGCTTTATGGTCTTAACAGTTGCTTTCCATGGATGTTTTGTGAAAAGACAAGTAAGCTGAAAAGTGTCTGTTCATTTTAATGCAGACATATACTTTTTTTTTATATCCTCTAATCTTTCTTTGCTGTTTTGTGCAATAGAAATCGATGACAAAGCTGAATGTCGTCATCATGGCGCTTGCAGACAGTGGCAGAGTCGAAATTGTCAAGTCGATACCTCTGATCTGTGAAAGGAAAATTAAAGGTATAATTCTATGTGTACAGATAATATCATGACAGTTTTAGAATAGGGGTTATTATTAATTCTCAGTGTGTTTCCCACAGAGGTGATCAAACATGAAAATCCACTGGTATCAAGAGATGTTTTCTGCAACAAGGAAGGGTTCAACATCACCATCGCTCAGAATGCCACAGTCCCACCTCTGAACCTGGATGCAGTCTGGATCCCTTCCAGCCAAAGCCACACTTGTAAACCCCAAAAAAGATCAAAGGATGCTGTCACTTTCAGCTTTCCTTTCACTGACTGCGGCACCCAATCTGTGGTAAGTGTAAATAAATTACCTCCTGTGCAGCCTTTAGACAGGTAAGGTGGTATCTTTACTATAACAGGCTTGGTTGTGTCTTGCAGATTGCAGATGGGGTTATAACCTACTGGGTCAATATTGAAGTGAAACAACATGCACAGAAAGGCTCTATATTTCGAGAAGCTCCTTTCCAGTAAGAAATTAAAATGTTTCATTTCTGCTTTGTGAAGATAACGGACACTCATTTAAATGATCTCTCTTTTTTTAGTCGTACTGTGCATTGTAGCTTTGCACTGGCCCAAGCGACTCAGCTGGGCGTCAAGGTTCAGGGAGAAAAACCTGAGTATGTGTCAACACTGAAGAGTGAGGGAATACTGAGGACTGAAATGAGGTTTGCTAAAGGTATTGGTTTTTGACACTTATTCTCACAATAATGAGTGTGTGTTTTTATGCAACAAATGTTTAGAAACCAAGTGTAAAAGGGCCCTCACCTGCAAAATATCAGACACAAAAAGTACAACACAAAAAGATGCTAAACAACTATAAAGTGTGTGTATCTTGCTTTATGTTGGTGAGATGGGGGAGCCTTTTGCATATCTGTGTCCAGAAGCCCACTTTCCAATAATCCACCCCTGAACACATGACATGAAATTAATGAATCACTCTGACTTTGAAGGACTAGGTTGGAGCATAGCAATGCCCTGCTAGGCTATATGATTTATGTTTTTACTACTTATTTTTCATCATTTATTCACAGATTCCAGTTACAAGTCTTTCTATTCCTCTCGAGACCCTCCAACAGTAACCGAGCTTGGCCAGCCCGTGTATGTGGAGGTCTTTGTCCTCAAACATGAGGACAAGGATTTAGTGCTGCTGCTAGAGGACTGCTGGGCGACGCCAACTAAAAACCCACATGACCCACAGAGATGGAACCTGCTTGTTAAAGGGTGAGTTCACAAGAAATTAACAGACAATATTTCAGCATTGTTTTGTATTGAAAAGGCCATTTGCCTGTACTTTGATCAACCAAAGCTCATCTTATATCCAATCCAGATGTCCTTTCAGTGGTGATAGCCACAGAACTGTTGTGTTGCCAGTTGTTTACAGTAAGGAGCTGAAAAATCCCTCTCTTCATAAATGGTTTGTGGTTAAGCTGTTCTCATTTGTGAAGCCCCCGACATTTGAAAGCCTGGTATGTAATACAATTTACACTCACATAAATAGATGTTATGAATCCTGCTGCTATTTGTTGGCCTTGGTGTTTTGTTTAAAACAGGATGTCCTCCTACAGGTATATTTCCACTGTGATATAGAGATCTGTAAAGGACAACATTGCTTACAGACCTGCAGCAGTGGTAAGTGGAGCTAAAGCCTATTGATTCTTATAGAAGTCTAATGAATCTATCTTGTGTTATTGATTTTTGCACTTGCTGTGTAACACTGTGAACGATTGTCTGTGTTTTCCATTGTCTTTCAGGAAAGCGTAAATTAAGAAGAATCACACCAGGGCCAAGACAGAGGATTCTTCATAGTGTTGTCTCAGGTGGACCTCTTCTTTATCTGCTGTAGCCAAATAACCAGAGGAGGGATGCCATTTCAAGTCATATTTGGAAGCACAAATCAGTCAAGAACTGTGTGTGATTTTTACTGAAAATAAACACATAATATACTATAATGGCCTTAAGTAGGCAGATGTCTTTTGGTAGCGGGGAAGGCTTTTATTATATAACATAAATGTTGTTGTAGTAGTGGTAATAAATATCCTTCCTTTTTTCATCGCTGTAATGGCTCTTGTTTATTGTGGGTGGTTGTGAAAAATTGTGTGTACTTACGTTGGTGGGCTCGAAGTGAAGACCTCAGAGGACACAGGCTGTAATCAATTTGCTGCACTTTGGGAAAATTGCACATCCACAAATATTAAATGCATAAATAATAATAAAATAATTAAATTACTTGTTCTGGGCATATGAACAGTTTCACTTAAGTGCTTTTTGTGTGGTTATTTGATGTTGGCATAAATCTGTGTAAATAAATCTTAATTAAAAATAACATTTTAAAAAAACAGTCCAGCCAGACTTTATTGTGGTGGGGGAGCTTGGGTCACGTGACCGCAAGTCGACCAATAGAAACGCAGAATGGGTTCGTTTGCGGAAGTTACCGAGCGAGCGTGTTGCCTTTGAAACGACAGAGAGAAATATGAAGAAAATTGCTATTTTATAAAGTTAAATGCCGTCGGTGGGCACAAACAACAACTTAACCGTGTACTGCGAGATTAACACCAGTGTTTATTTCGTCTGAAAGCGACTCAAGACCTGTAGTCATGTCAAAATCAACGAGATGGGACTCAAAAGATGAGTCAAAACATCTACCCATCTATAAGCACAAAGCTAAACTCGTTCAGGCTGTCAAAGACAGCACTTTTTTGGTTGTCACCGGAGAGACAGGCAGCGGGAAAACCACACAGCTTCCCAAGTACCTGCATCAAGCAGGTAAGCTGTCATGTTGTTGTCCTGTCCTTGGTCATATGAAGTTAATGCACATACTGCAAGCTTTAACGGTAAAAGACAACATGTGGACACAATGTGATGTGTGTTTCCGCTTCTTTGTCTCCAGGTTTTTGTAAAGATGGCAAAATTGGCATCACCCAGCCCCGCCGGGTGGCTGCCATCACAGTGGCTCAGAGGGTAGCTCAGGAGATGCAGTGCACTCTGGGTAGAGAGGTTGGCTACCAAGTACGCTTTGATGACTGCACATCAGAGGTGGGAGTCAAAGACAACTCATCCCTGATTAAAAAAGTACGATGTATTTGTTGTATATGTGTGTTAACATGAAGATGTGTCTGTGTTTGAGCCAGAGCACGGTGGTGAAGTACATGACAGACGGCTGTTTGCTCAGAGAGATCCTGGCAGATCCTGTACTTACTCAGTACAGTGTTGTAATCTTGGATGAAGTCCACGAACGCAGCCTCAACACAGTGAGTCAATATATGACACTGACAGGATATACTCTCTGTACTGTATTGTTAGATGCATACAGCTGTTCCGCATATAGAATGTCCTTATGTCTGTTTGTCTGTCTTTGAAACTTTGAGTAAGTGTTTGTATTCGCTGCAGGACATTCTTCTGGGTTTGTTGAAGAAAATGTTCTCCAACCCCGCTAAGGCCACCAAGGGCCAATATGTCCCTCTGAAGGTGGTGGTGATGTCCGCCACCTTGGAAACTGACAAACTTTCAGCCTTTCTCAGCGACTGTCCAGTCTTTGCTATTCCTGGGAGGACTTTTCCTGTCACCTGCACATTTGGTTTTGCTGTAGGACCTAAAGACATAGAGAGCGCCGGTTATGTAAAAGAGGTAAAACTTTTAGCTTTGAGTCCAGAAAAAAAATAAATAAATAAATTTGGTTTTACAACTTTACAATTATTACTTATTAACTGATTAATTTGTTGGTGTTCCTTTAATTTTACATCTGTTACTTGTCAGGTCGTCAAAGTGGCCCTTGATGTGCACACCAGTGAAATGGCAGGGGATATTCTTGTGTTTTTGACAGGTAAGTCATTAACAACCTCACAGTAAATCCTAACCCTGACAAAATCTGTCACAATAATCCTCCATGTTCGACAGGTCAGTCAGAGATTGAGCGAGCCTGTGACATGCTGTATGAAAAAGCTGAGTCTATAGACTACCGCTATGATGTGGAGGACCAAACAGTGGAGGGCCTTCTTATTTTGCCCCTTTATGGATCCATGCCCACTGGTAAACACACACAGCAGTTATCACATTTTGTGCTAAGCAGATTAATATTGTAGCTTTTTCTAGGTCAAGTCAGTATCTTTCTTTGTGATGCCACTGTAATACTGAAAAAGAAAATATTTATCATTTCTGTTGTCGTCACAGATCAACAGAGGCAGATCTTTCAGCCTCCACCTCCAGGGATAAGGAAGTGTGTAGTGGCCACAAACATCGCAGCAACATCTCTCACCATCAACGGCATAAAGTGAGTGAGGCCTGTGGTCACTGGCTAACCACGAGACTCCATCAGATATACAACAATGACTTGTATGTTAAATCAACATCATTCAGATATTTCATGCAAATCATACCTATCATCCAATGCTTTGCCAATAAAGGTACATCGTGGACAGCGGGTTTGTGAAGCAGCTCAACCACAACTCACGGGTGGGCATGGACATCTTGGAGGTGGTGCCTATTTCAAAGTGAGTTTTTGAAAAATTAACATGCCATTTCAAAATCCATGCCACTGCACCAAAAATCCGCCGCCTTTTATGTGGATGTCCAATCGGTGTTGTTGTTCAGTTAAAGCAATAAATCCTCAGTGTGTGCTGTGTTGACTGAGAGGCTGAGTCCTCCTGCTCACAGAGCCATGCCGGCAGTGCCTACATTTACCAGGATGTGTTGCACACAAGCTTCTGGTGCCCATAAGTATTAGCCAACTAGGCTATAGCTGTAACTTTGTTGGCCAAAACATAGTGTAGCCGAGGTTTATATGTTGTTAACTTGTGTAGGCAACAAAATAAAAAGCTGCTCTCTGCTGCATTTCTTCATCCATGAACGCGCTTGAATAAATGCAACTGAATATCAGAGCTAGCCAAAACACTGTAAAATGTATCCTTGTCCAAAAGATCATCTGCACTCATATTTTGGGATGCCGTTTTCGCTGTTAGAAACGTAGCTAGTTTGCAATACAACCAAAAAGAACAAGGAAGTTTTATTTTTGAGTGGCACCTAGAGCACGCCCCCTAGCTAAAAGAGGTGAAATGCAACCTGTGGTTCTACTGCAACTTCCGTCCTCCAACTACATCACTGTCACGTCAAATGATGCTGCTGGATGCAGGAGGAACAATAGGTTTTGCAGCTGCAAACTCAGCTTTCTTGCTCCATGTAGCACGCACTGAGGATTTAAATACTTCAACAGACTCCATTTACCATCAGCACTGATTGGACAGCTGTATAAAAGGTGGCAAAATTTCCCTCTAAGAAAGCTTGCCAACAGATTTAGATTGGATTTTTGGGGGGGGGGGGATTTTGTGTGATTAGGAGCGAGGCTCAGCAGAGAGCGGGTCGAGCTGGAAGAACCTCAGCCGGGAAATGCTTTCGAATCTACACCAAGGAATTCTGGGAGAAGAGCATGCCTGAATACACAATTCCAGAAATCCAGAGGACAAGTTTGACTGCAGTGATACTTACACTCAAGTGTCTGGGCGTTCATGATGTCATTAGGTACACTGATGCCCATTCTTATCATGCTTATCTTTTTTTCTCCCTTTATCTTCTTTAATAATGACTTGATTTCTTTTTAGATTTCCTTATCTGGACTGTCCAGAGGAAAGGTTTATTCTGGAGGCATTAAAACAGCTTTACCAATTTGATGCCATCGACAGGTGAGTGCTTATACCTGTGCACTTGACAGCAGTTGTGGGTTTAAGTATTTCTCTGAAACTTAATGAACTCCTATGTGTCTGGTGTGTTGGCTGTAGGAGAGGTAGAGTGACCCAGCTGGGGAGGCTGATGGTGGAGTTCCCCCTGCACCCAGGCCTTACCAGGGCCCTGCTTAAAGCTGCCTCGCTTGGCTGTCAGGACTTGCTGCTCCCTGTGGCCGCCATGTTGTCTGTGGAGAACATTTTCATCAGACCAGGTCTGCAATTTAGCTTTAAAGCAAAACAAAACACATACGTTCAATTAAAAGTGTGAGGGAGAAAAAAACATAAAAGCTTACAAAGAAATTTAAAAATACTTTGTTATCCATGATATTACATTATATTATATGAATTGTCTATTAGAAGATACGCTAAACATGTCAGTTAAATATAGAGTGCCAAGGAAGTTCTGTACTGTTTACTGGCATGTTGGTTTAATTTATTTAATGTGTCAGGAAATGACACATACAGAGAAGTGTAGTGTGAAGACTGATCTCTTCCTGCCTGCAGGCCACCCTGAGAAACAGAAAGAGGCTGATAAACAGCACAGAGAGCTGGCTGCCAAGAGCGGCAGCATGAACGACTTTGCCACTCTCCTCAGCGTGTTCCAGTCCTGCAAATCCAGGCAAGATGCATGCATATTTCTATTCGTGTGTACAAATAAATGTCAGTGTCAGTCTATAACTAACCATGTATTCAAGACATTAAACTGCATGATATAACAGCTATCATAAGTGTGAGCCTTTCTCCTGCATCCTGCAGTGACAGACCCTCAGCGTGGTGTAAAGATAATTGGATCCACTGGAGGGCGCTGAAGTCAGCCTTTAGTGTGGAGACTCAGCTGCGAGAGATCCTCCTCCGCCTACAACAGGTACAGCAGTTTACAGAACTCATTTTCACATCACTGACTGAATGGACTCAGTTGTGTGTCTATGCTCTGTTAAATGCTTCATATTGCTGTTGACAAAAAATGGACAGGTCTGCCTATTTATTATCAGCTTGTACAGATGCTGCTTGCTCCTCACATCAGAGTTGTGCTTGGATAATTGTAAAGGACCTCTTTGCAGATTACTGTAGTCAGATGTTCAACACTGTCATTTATTATTTAATTATTTTAATTGCCAACATAATGCTGTGATCGTTAAATTGAGTGTGACCCTCTTTCCTCTTAGAAGAGAGATTTCCCCGTGGAAACATTTGACGGCAATAAAAGTGAGGTCTTCAGACGATGCCTGTGCACGGGATACTTCACCAACGTTGCCAGAAGGTACCACCATTATTTACAATGATCCATATTTAATTCTCCTTTGGGATATCTTTATGATCTCTTAGTCATGTGAACTTTTACTGGTTGGGAATAATTGTTTCCGCCCCACATAGGTCTGTTGGAAAGGTGTTTTGCACAATGGATGGCCACGGATCCATGGTTCACATTCATCCATCCTCATCGGTAAATGCATTTAAAAAAAAAAGATCTTGATTAACTAACTGTCTTCATAGAGGACAAAAGTTTAATGCTTCTTCTCTGATTTCCCCTTTCGTCATGATCGCTTGTTGCTCCAAGCTGTTTGACCAGGAAGCTGAGCTGAACTGGATCATCTTCCACGATGTGCTGGTGACCTCACGGGTGTATATCAGGACTGTATGTCCCATCCGATACGACTGGGTGAAGGACTTACTGCCTAAACTCCATGAGGTGGACGTCTATGAGCTTAGCAGTGTGGCGCGAGAAGAAGTGACCGATGAGGAGATGATAAAATGGGAGACAAAGGAAGCGGCCAAAAGACAACCAGGTTCTCAGAATTCATTAGAAACCATGATGTTGTACAGCTTAATGTATGACGTAGGTGGATTTTTTAATTTTTGATCATTTCATACTGGCTCATAGCAGGGGCCATGGACCTTAAACATTAATAATACAAATAAATGTATTAGTAATGTTTAAGGTTCATGGCCCCTGCTATGAGCCAGTATGAAATCATCAAAAATAAAAATCCACCTATGTCACAGGGTGAATTAAAAGGCTACTAATAGAGGCAACTAATAGATTACTTGGGTCTTTTCCAGAGGTTTCTACTGTGGATGCCATGAAGAAGCTGGAGAAGCGAAATGACGAAACCTCCGTCAGCGATGCTCGTGCACGCTACCTGCAACGGAAGCAGCAAAGACAACAAAATAAAGCCCTTTGACAGAGGGGGCTTGCTTTTGAAGACATGATTCATATGATGTATCACAAAGGGGCATTTTTGTAAATGATATGTGAATAAATATTTGTTACATTTCTAACATTGCCTCTCTTCCTTGATTGCCTCACTTTACACACAATGCTGTAGCAGTAGTTGGTTCATAGGTCTTTTGAAAAGGCTCACATCTAAAGAAAACTAGTGCTTTGTACTTGAAAAGTGAGTAGATTATAGTAAAGGTGGTGGTGTAAAGAGGAGGTGCGAACATTGGGTCAAAAAAGGCACATTTTGGGACATTTTACTTAACTTTTTTTTTTAATGCACTGCCTGTGTCTGAGACTATCTGTGCACCAGCTCTGTGCAGTTGGGGTGAGGTTAAGGTTACTATATGGTACTTGATGTACTTTCACACCGACTGTTCAGGTGCAGTGGACCCTCTCTGGCCTCGTACGTCACTTCCTTTTGTGTGAGTCTGCGGGGCTGCTGTACTGTCTGGCTGGGACGGAGGGCTTCCACGCTAAGCAGGAGACTAACCACATTAAACCTAACACAGAGGCGTTTATATCTGTCCAGGATTTGGAAATTACCTGTTCTCGACACAACTATCCATCAAGCGGGAGCTCAGTGGACTTTATTCTCTCGCTGGCTCGCTCGCATACGCTTCAGTGAACCACTGCAGCAGCAACACACCAAGCACGCCGCCGCCGCCGCTGCTGTTGTTGTGAGAAGAAAACAAGCTCGGCGAGCAGTCCGCTAAGCTGTGTGATCATTGACAGAGTTCAGTACACACACGCTTCAAGTGATAACTGGTGGGAGCTTTGTGCAGCGTACCTCCGAGCCTCGTCAAGAACCGATTAGCTGGGGATATTTTCGTCACTGAAGCCGAGGTAAGAAAAGCCGGGGTAATGAGGAGAACTAGTGGCTAGCTGACATGCTAACTAGCTGCTAGCTTGGGAGCTATCTTGGCTAGCTGCCTTGTTTGGTCGTAATGCGGTCATGGTCAGTGTCCTCACTGCTGTCTGTCGCACCACTTGGCCAAACTGCCCATCAGCTTTAACTGAAGTGTCGTGGCAACTTGTTTATTGTTAAACTACTGTGGAAAAGTTAACGACCTGTCCTGGACTCGGAAGGTAACGTTTGTTGAATTTGCCTCAGTTAGCTAGGCAGTAACGTTACACTGAAAGGATGAGGATGTGTTAACGTCACGTTAATGTTTACGCTAACGTTAGGCAGCTTGTGTTTGTGCTGGGTACACTTTGTAATGTCTCAGACATTGATTAACGTTCACTGCAGTTATCTAACAGGGTAGCTATGTGAGGTGTTGCTATCAATGCGCTCTTATTGTTTCCTCGAGCAGTGCTACATGTAAACTTAACGCGTGACTGGGTACATTTCTACATGTCCTGTTTGTGCGAGCATTGAACCTGTAATTGCACAACCTGCACAAAGTTATTGTGCTTCATATTTATTATCTCAAAGAGCAGCCGCTTGCACTTTAGCTATTCAAATGAGTAGATATGAACAGCCGTGGATGCACCTCTGATGGCCATAACAGAGTCTGAAGTCGTGGGAAGCCTTATCTGTTTTTATCTTTGTAAACAAAGCAGTTCAAACAGTCTTTGTGTTCTGGTGACTATATGCACTGTAATATTCAACCCCATCACTTTCACTGAAACACTGTGAAATTCTGCTAAACCTATTATCTAACATAAGCTGTCGATTCAGAGCTGACCCTGGATCACCAAGGCCTCGCCACAAAAACATTAAGCAAGAGCTGTGGGAGGCTTTTACATTTAACAAACGCACAGCTTTCCATTTTGCTAATTGTTAGATCAGTATCACATTGAATGTGTGGTTTCTACATGGTATCACCGGAGCAAAAACATCTACCATGTTTAAATGTGTTGTGACACTGAAACACTGGTGTATGTTGCACAGGATGATGGAGATGCCTGGCATCTTAATATCTTGCCTGTGGTCATGATAGTCATTGTGCTAGTCCTGTTTTGATGTCACCGTCACAAGTGTCAAGATGTTCAGATATGGGGTGGTGAGCAGACGTGCAGATTTCAGCAGTTTTTCTTTGTTGCGGAGTTGTGTTTCAAGGCAACAGTGTGTCTCCGAAGGTGAAGAATTTATTCAAGCGCAGTGCTGTGGTGACAACATTCAGATAGGCATCAAGAGCGATACACAAAAAGTTTCCTTTGTTTTCAGAAGTCAGTTTCGCTTTATGTCTTCACTTTGTGTCCTGACTGTAAACGACTGTAGTTTTACTTTCTTTAGGCCTGATTTCACATATAGTTTATATGTTAAAAAAAACATTACCCCTTTTATTTAAAGTGAGGAAGTGAATTGTAAGTAGTACAAAGTCACAAAGCTGTTTTGCTCACACCTTTACAAGTCAGCAGAGGTATTACATTTTTAGCCAAGAGCAGCATTGCACACAAATTAAGTATCCACCTGAAATTTTGTTGTTTTTATTGTGTTTTTTCTCCAGTATGGGTGGTTTAAAGCCCTTCTCTATGCATGGACATTGATGGTCTTTGTAAGTTGTAATTAGCATTGTGATTAGCATTGTCTTTCTATTTCATGTACAGTTTGACACTCATTTTGTATTCTGCACTAACAGTATTTCTCTCTGTTCTCTTCCCTCAGGTATTACATGATATATATTATTTTTTATCTGAGCCACTGTCAGGCACTTGACCAATAGGAACAGTTTGCACAATTTCCACCAGCTTGCTGCAGCCCCCTCCCAACCCAGACAGTCTTCTGCCCCAGCATGAATGAAGTCAGTGTTGTGAGAGAGGGATGGCTCCACAAGAGAGGTAAGGGGGCCTCCAAAATCTGAGTCTACATTTAAGTCATATAGTCCACGTTAAATCTATATTTTGAGGATTAAATATTGCCTCTGTAGGCTTTTAATGTATATGTCAAGTGTATAGGTCACTTACACTGGATTTCCATTGTAATAATAACAGGACATGGAGTAGCCATATTAACCCGAAACACACAAGCAAGTAGTCAGACATTTAAACAGCATTGGATCTAAAAATTCAACCTGTCTGTTTTCCAGGTGAATACATTAAAACATGGCGGCCTCGTTACTTCATCTTAAAGAGCGATGGCTCCTTCATCGGCTACAAAGAGAAGCCTGAGGTGTCCAGCGATCACAGCCTCCCACCGCTCAACAACTTCTCTGTCGCAGGTCAGTTCTATCTGCATGTGCTAGATTAAATTTTGAGAAGTGTTTTTTAAGTTTTATTGTCAGTGCCTTCAGTTCTTCAGTGGTAGCTGATGTGTCTCTGCCTTTCAGAATGCCAGCTGATGAAGACAGAGCGCCCAAGGCCCAACACGTTTGTCATTCGTTGCCTGCAATGGACCTCAGTTATCGAGCGCACCTTCCATGTAGACAGCAACGATGAGAGGTAAAACACCGCCATCCCAATGGTTTTATTTTAAGTCGCATTTTTGGTCTCTTTGGTAGAAAAAAAGCCCAAGTGAAAATGTGAGAGTGCTGCCTGTAGCAGGCTTAGGCTGGTACATCTGAAAATTAAATTTACATGTGAAACACACTGGTTACTTTGCTGAGTCGCGGCCTAGTAGAGCTCTTTTCTGTTGCTGTCTGCTCCCCATTATCAAGTACAGTGTTTCAGAAGAGCCAAACTGCCTTTTTAGTTGTTCTCACTGATATATTTTTCTTTTGTCAGATATCTGAATTAGGTTAAAGTAGTAGTTATGAAAGTTACATGGTTACCAAGGTGATCAGGGGTTTTTTTTTGCGCTACTCTTTTGCACTGAAACATCAAATCATGGCCAAGGTGATTCATGCTTGATTACAGCATAAACATAAATACATGTTTAAAGAAAAGGTTGAAGTGTTTATTTCGATGTATCAGTTTTGGAAAAGATTTGTGGACATGTAAAACACTGGCTTATTGTGAATTGAAGGCCAACGTAAATGAAAAGGAAAGAAATGTTTTTGGATTTAGAGACTTTAGTATGGACACAGTCACAGAGTCCAAGTCCTTGCTCTGTTGTACATTTGAATGGATATGACAGAAGTATTGACATGAGATAAACTCGACATATATAACAAGGACAGAATGAACAAGGTGCAGAATTTAGTAGGAAAAAAGGAAAGACCATCATGCTTGAATTTCACTGCCAGATTAGACCTGATTATTCACCCCTAACCCAAGCAGTTGTCATTGAGTTTTGTTTACATCGGCTCTGCCAAGTACCAAATCCCAGCGGCCCCCCAGATTATCCTCTACCTTCTAAATTTATCTTGCTAGACTACCGTTTTCCTTTAAGATATATTTCTGGCACAACATCTAAACCATCTGTCCGAATACAAAGCGTTGACAAAATATGTTACTGCTAACAGCAATTTGTACCTCAAGGCAAAACTGTCACCAATTCAGATGTTGATAGAACAGATTAAGAGTAATGTAGACATGGCTTTGGCGAGATTTGATAAAAGCAATGTGTGTTTTTTGTTCTGGGTCAGGGAGGAATGGATGCGATCGATCCAGGCAGTGGCAAATAGCCTGAAGAGTCAGCAGCAGGATGAGGAGCCCATGGAGATTAAATTTGGCTCACCAAGTGACAGCAGTGGCACAGAGGAGATGGAGATTGCTGTGTCCAAATCCCGCACAAAAGTGGTCAGTATTTGCACAAGCAGTGCCTGGCAGCTGAGCGCTTGCTGTGTTTGTCCAGCTAAGCTCATCTTTATTGAGCAAGTTGTTTAAACTTTAAGCCTCTTTCTCAAAGCTTGTATGGTGAAGCAACCTTTAAATGAGTGGAGGGCAACATTCATATTTTGTCTAGCGCTGATTCACTACAGTAACTTTTAACTGCTCTGTTTGTACGGACTTAGTTTGTCTGTTGACTGCTTACATGCAGCATGTGAAGTATGAAGAGATGCAGGATGTTTTACAGCTATACATACTATGCCTCTACATATTTTTTATGTTTACTGATCAAGTAGAAGTTTGTGTTTTTCAAAGTAGTTTTATTATTTTGTGAAAACATGTTCTTGTACTTTATGGGCCTATCCTTATTTATATAATTTCCTGCTTTACACTGCATTCGATATTCAAATAGTGATCAGTGTCAATTTTTGTTCCACATCCGTCACTATTTTAAGTAATTTTCTCCAGAAAGTACTTCACTTCCTCACTGCGGTTTCACAAGTGTTGATTTAAAGGCCTGGTTCTCCAATTTAAGGAGAAATATTTATCACTGTTTCAACATAATGTCATGTCCCACATGCATGAGAGAAATGTGTGTCTGTTTGTTTGTGTGGTAGAATACAGCATATGTAGTGCACTGACTCATCCAAATTCTCATCACAATCCTGTACATTTCAGAGACAGGCTATTTTATATTTCTATATTACAAAAGAACATATGTTAAAGTCTCATCAGAACTCATAGATGCATCTTCACCGTGGCTGACCTTTGACTGTTGTTCCAGCAGACCATGAGTGATTTTGACTATCTGAAGCTACTGGGAAAAGGGACATTTGGTAAAGTGATCCTGGTGAAGGAGAAGGCCACAGGGATGTACTACGCCATGAAAATCCTCCGCAAAGAAGTCATCATTGCTAAAGTTAGTGCTGATCACATCACAGTAAAATCTTGACTTTGAATGGTTTTGCGGCAGCATTGCTATCTGTTCATATGGGGTCTTGCATGTCCTGAATGTGTGTATATGTGTCTGTTTCTCTAGGATGAGGTGGCACACACAGTTACAGAAAGCAGAGTTCTCCAAAATACGCGGCATCCCTTTCTAACGGTGAGTTACCAGTGCCTGTGTTGTTGCCTCAGTTTTTGCTGTCCAAAGTTAAAGGTTGAAGAAGTGATTCTGTGAGTCTCATTCTCAGGTTGTCAAATACCAACACTTTGGGTTGATATTCAGACCAAACCACTAACTCAGAATGTCAGCTACCTGGGAATGAGACTCAACAAATGCCTGTATTTCTCTAGAATCACCTACTCCACCTTCAAGGCACCCTTTAATCAGTAAATTGCAGATGCTAATGTTGGTTTTCCTCCTCCACAGACACTAAAATATGCATTTCAAACACATGACCGGCTATGCTTTGTGATGGAGTATGCAAATGGAGGAGAGGTGAGTTTTCTTCTTTCTTATATGGCCTCCAGTTGTGTCTGCTGTGTTAATATACCTGTGTGTGACCTTTAGGAAGATGGCTAATTGTAGGAGGGATGTAAAAAAGTAACCCAACACATTGTGATGTATCACTTAAAGGGTGCTTTCATGCCTGACTTGTTTGGTTCCGTTAGAAGGATTTTAATCCAGCTATCAAACTGGACTGGAACTGTGGAAGCGTCGAAATCCGATCAAACTGTGGGCTGGATGTGAGATTTTATGATGCATCAAACTAAATCAAATTAATGTTGGGCCTAATTGTGAAGTGAAAAGAACATTGTAGAGATTTATTTGGTTACAGCATGTACTAGGCTGGTTATAATCCATAAATTGTCCACAAAAGCACCACAAAGAATAAATAAGACTCAAGAATTCTGTTCACATCAAGGATTTTTTTATGAAATCAAGTATCTCAAGGATCTTCATGAGATGTTCTGTACCTTATTCCTGTGTCTGCATTTTTGCTTTTTCCCAGCTCTTCTTTCACTTATCACGGGACAGAGTGTTCACAGAAGACAGAGCAAGATTCTATGGTGCAGAAATAGTGTCGGCACTGGAGTACCTGCACTCACGCAATGTAGTTTACAGGGATTTAAAGGTAAGGCGTCTGCTTGGTCTGACAGTGTAGTATTCATTTGTTGCAAATAAGATTTTATATGCTATAACTTGAGATGGTCATACAATCTTAATCTGAGATACAGCCACTGCTGTCTACTAATTTGAATCTTTTCCTGCACAGCTGGAGAACCTCATGTTAGACAAGGACGGCCACATAAAGATAACAGACTTTGGGCTGTGTAAAGAGGGGATCACAGACGGTGCCACCATGAAAACCTTCTGTGGAACCCCGGAGTACCTGGCGCCAGAGGTAACAATGACATCAATGTGTTTTAAGACCAGGTTTGTTTAAAAAGCACTGATGCCACTGGGCTGGATGAGCACATGATGGAAACTGGTTTTAATAAATTGGTAGTTTCATGTCTAAATGTTTCGGAGCAACTTTGTTGACTTCACCGTGGGACACTACAAACCAGTAAGAATAGTAGTTAAGCTGGTAGAGCTGGTTGTCAAATCGCAGTGTTGGTGCTTTGGCTACCACAACAAGACAAGACCAAGAAAATGCAAGTTGACAATCAACAGGTTCCTGGGATGGGAAAGTTTGGTCCCTTAAATTTAGTTCAACAGCTAAATGTCCTGTAGCAGAGAAGTTTGATTACAGTTTGAAAATAGCACAATTTAAGGATTGTATTGAATTGAATTACTTTGTATCTGTAAATAGCACCATGAAACTTGTTGGTTACTATTTTTGGGGGCATTTTGCCTTCATGTGACCAGGCTGCCATGGCTCCCGCACTACACGAAACTTGTGACTGGGCCATTAATTTGATGGAAAACCGCAGAATGGAAAATGGACAATTTCCAGAACAGTGCATTTCCTTGACTTAACCAAAAACTTTTTGAAATTGGTAGCTATAATGTGAAAAGAAATTTGCTGATTCTTTTACTAATATCACAGTTTTATTTCTTTCTCAATTCTTTTTCCTGCCCTGTCAGGTGCTAGAGGACAATGACTATGGGAGAGCGGTGGACTGGTGGGGACTGGGCGTGGTCATGTATGAGATGATGTGTGGTCGGTTGCCCTTCTACAACCAGGATCACGAGCGTCTTTTTGAGCTTATCCTCATGGAGGAGATCCGCTTCCCCAAGAATCTGGCTCCTGAAGCCAAGGCCCTGCTGGCCGGCCTGCTCAAAAAGGATCCCAAACAAAGGTACTAGCACAAGCGTCACCAAATCTGTCAGTAGCTGAAAGGCAAAAAATAAAACTTAAACCCAGATAATCAACCAAAATGAAAATACTTTTGATGAAAGCTTGAGATTCCAGCTCCAACATTTTTGCTGAGGTCAGTTTTTTTATAAACATTCAGTAAAACTGTTTTACTGCAACCATTTAAAAAACATAAGCATCTCACTCTATCAAGCAGCATTTCAAATTGTTAATTAATTGCAGTGCTACTGTTTTGTGAGAGCACACAACAGATTGTTAAAGGTACACTGGGTACCTGGGTGCAGCACATAGGTGATAAAAAGTAGTGACTATGTGCCATACTATAAGTAGCACACATGGAGAGGAATCTTCGAAGAAGAACAGCCTCAAAAGAATGCAAATATAACTGGGTGAAACAGTGACAAACCTGGGATTGGCTTTCAATTGTGCTGGCAATTTTGAGAGGAGAATGACATGTCAGCCAGTAATCATTCTTTTTAACGTGTCCGCACAGCATTTATTTGACAGACGACAGTCTAGAAATGAGGGAGAGAGAGGTGTGTGACATTAATATTAAACAACATAATTTAAAATAAAAAAAGCCTTTCTTCTTATGTATGGTTACCCTGTGAAAACATGGCTGTTGAGCTGACTAACTGGCTCCTGGAGATGCAGCAGTACAGCTCAAGAAAAAACATTTTCTTCCTGGGATTTTGCACCATGTCTGCAGCACTTGATTAGTTTTCTGAATCTTCCACTGTGCCCCGGGGGCACCACTTATTTAGCTATAAAATAAGTAACCACATTATTAGGCCTTTGTTCCTTCTTGATTAGTTTTGGTACAGGGTAATGTCCATAAACAAGGACATAATTGATTGTTGTTTTGGTCGAGCCCCGGTGTTTCTGGGAACAGTCGAAGAACTCCTAATATTTGTACATTGAGCACTGCCTGGCTCACCATGCACCCGTAAGTAGTAAGGAAATGAGGAACAAATTGTCTAGAAATTGATAAACAGCAGTCAGAAGGGAACAACACGTCGTAAGTGCCGTACATCTCTAATGACTGTTTGCACAATTATCTGTAGAAAGAAAAGGTAGCTGGTGAGTGGGTGGTGATGATGATGATCGTGTTTTGATCTGTTTACAGACTTGGAGGCGGACCAGACGATGCCAAAGAAGTGATGAGCCACAAGTTCTTCACCTCCATCAACTGGCAGGATGTTCTTGAAAAAAAGGTGAGGGACTGGGAGAAAAAAAACAAATAACCTGACATTTAAAATTAGATGTTCAGGATTTTAAATGACTGATATCTTTCTTCTCCTCAGCTTGTTCCACCCTTCAAGCCCCAGGTAACATCAGAGACGGACACGCGCTACTTTGATGACGAGTTCACAGCACAAACCATAACAATAACTCCCCCTGACAAGTGTAAGTATATTGGTCATTTGTGATTTAATGTTGGATTAACGTCTTTCTACACATTCATGTCTGAAGTGGTGGATACATTTTTTCTCTTTCTTCCTTTGTATATACTCCAGATGACAGTTTAGATGCAGAGGATTCAGATCAACGCACGCACTTCCCTCAGTTCTCCTACTCTGCCAGCATACGGGAATGATCACTCAGACTCTTGAAAAAAGCAGGCAGGCTAACACACGATCACAATCCCACATACACACTTGCACTGCTGGGGAACGACACAAACAAAAACTGGCACAAGACACATTTTCATTCGGTCTTTATCGCACGTACACACACACAGACACGCACACACACATATCCTGGCAAATCAGACAAGACAGGGATCATCGAGTATGAAATGAACACACAGGCCGCGAATGACTGACCTCAGCAGGTTTGTGTGGATAGACTGGCAGCTTTGTCTCTGTGCGTCCTCTCAGGGTCGGCTCTAGGCTTCCCTGCAGGACCTCTGCTGCACTACACTGGGGTACCACATCAAAGCCTTGACACTTTGAAAAACCAGGTTATGCCAGCAAGTACCACCTCTTTACCAGCTGTACCCATGCTACACACACACACATACCAACCCATGCATAGACTGCATATATATACACAAACATACTTGATAGAATTTTAAAAAAGCATAATCAGAATTAGGAAAATGGAAAAGATTTGGGGGAAAAAAAGACAAATTTTTATTTCATCGATTGTTACGGTTTTAACTGTAAAGCCATATTTCTGCATTTTTTGTGATTTTTTTTTTATTATTATTTTTATTTTAACAAGTGCTCTTTCTGGAACTTGCTGTTACAAATCAAGTGTGGGACTGTTCCTACAGTAGGGGGAAATGGGGAAGAGGGGGAGGGGAAGGAGGGTTGCCATTTCTGTGTTTGCACTGCACGTGTGTAGAAGTGAATGGATGAGTGGATGCGTGAATGCGTGCGCACATGAGTGCAGGAGGATGTATGAACAACCATTTTTATTCTCAACCATCCATTTGTGTCTGTTTTCATGCATGTTTTTTTAAAACTGAACTATTGCTGGAATATCAACAAGAGAGGACACTACACGACACACTCAATGGCCTTTTTTTTTTTTTCTTTTTTTTTTTTAAAAGGGAACAAGCACGTAATTTATGATTGCTGTGACTAGCTTGGCGCTAAGTTGACTCAGTCAGGAATAGAAACTGGGATCTCTTGCATGGCTAACCTTTGCTTGAAAAGCTGCATTAATTCACTCAAAGTGATGCAGCAGTCAGGCTTTTAGGGTTCTTGTGGCTGTATCCAGACTGACTTACCGACCATCTAGTTGCTGCTTGGAGGTGTAAGCGTTTTCATTAAGGCCAGTTGCACTGTGTGAGTAAGAATAGAGGGAAAGAGGAGTATAGACTAGACGTTTGACCACAGTTGTTCCCCAACCTGTATAGAGAGACCAATGTAGATGCACACAGCCATTCGCTGTCCTCGATCCAGTAATTCTCACTCCCTAGCTGAAGAGTTAGGCACCAATCTTTTGTCCATTTTCTGTCTTTCAATATCAGTATGTTTTAAATATATTTTTCAAATGTTCCCATATTTAAAGAAATGAGAGTTCAATCATTGTTAAGTCTTTATCATGAGGCCAAAAACTGACTGACTTGGTGGACGTTTAACACTTCAAATGATTCCACATTTGATGTTTAGTACCTTTTGTTTGTGTTTTCTTTAATGCTGTGTTGAGGCACTTAAATCTGCATAGTTGTATGTCTGGAGCAACAGTCTGCAGGTTTACAGTCCAACGAAACGCTGCATGAGCTGGTCGACCAAACTTCAACCTGCAGACAGGGAGAACTAATCAAATCAGCTGATGCACTGTGAAGTTGAAATGAAAATTTGCATACTTTGAGTCATGACGGCACATGATAACACACACACACACACACACACACACACACACACACACACACACACGTGCTCATACTGACACACGCATTTTATATTCCATACTGCTGGAAGAGATGTTGGTTGCTCTTTGAGCTTCACTAAAGGAACATCAAGTTCTTTTGTGTTTGTCATTGTTTTGTTTTTGTTTGTTGATTTTTCTCCTTTTATTTGTCCATCTATTTCTCAAATTTTGGAAGACACATTGTCTTGTTTAAGTATACATTATATAAAAATTATATATTAAAAGTTTTTAAACTGCTTTCTTTTTGATTACGTTCTTCATTTCAAGGGGGTTTCCATCAGAGGAATGCTTATTTAGATGGTGACTGTCAGTAATTTTATTTCAAAATGACCTCATTTTTGGTTTGTATTATTACGTCCCCTAGGCTGAACTGAGTACATTGTTCATAATTTGCATAATTGAGCATATATAAGAAGTTTCAGTTTGAATTTTCTTTTTGAAACTAGAGAGAAATTTTAAAGTTGTACTTCTTAAAAAAAATCTATTTTCCAGACTATGCTTGAACAAAGTAGATAAGACCCATCCTTTGATTTATACTGCATAGTCAAGAATAATGAAATTGGTAGTTCAATACTTTTGTCTCCCATTCTCAGCAGAACACTTATCCTACAGTGATGTTTGAAGGTTTTGCAAAAACCTCTATCAGCATTCTCTGGGATGCCCCTCATGTCACATATTAATTTGTTTTTATTAAGTTTGTGTGAGTGACAGCACGACAAGAGCGTGACAGTGAGATGTGTTGAGTGAAAGTGGTGATGAGGACACAGAAAAGCAGCAGGTGTTTTGACTCTCATCGTCAGACAGCAGGTGGCCCCAGTTCCTGCAGATGAAAATGTGATCAGATGGCTTTGATTTACAGTTCACAACTCCAGCACCTCTTCTCACTGGCTCAGGCTCAGCCATCATACTCTAGCCTAGTGTCCTGCTTTGGAAACAGCAGGATCGGATATCAGAACCACTGCACTGATGGACTCCACTGTGGATTTGCCTTCATTGCTATCATGGCCATAAGGGGGTGCTGCTGAACTTTTTTAATATTGGTTGTGAAGCCATACTCTGAACCTCGCTGCTGGCCACGCTTTAAGCAATGCTTCACAGCTGAACATGCAAGTTAATACCCCTGACCTCTCCTGTAGGCATACACAGGCACAACAAGTGCCTCCTCACTATTGTGTAAATACCAAAAAAAAAGCTTGATGGTGAATGCAGCATTCGTAGAGGGGGAGGCCTGCAGCTTTGTAGTATTTGATTTGCAGCTTTACTATGGTTACCTTGCTTCTCTGTGTATTTGAATGTGATCAACAGTCACGAATGTCACACCTGATGCTGGTGTAACAAGTTTTCCTTTCTTTGCTTGTTGCTGTTAGTTGAGGCTCAGAGGGCAATGAAAAAAAGCAATCTTTAAGGGGAGGACATTGTCCTGGTAGACAGTTTCAGCCCCCCTTTGCAAGACTTTACAATGTAACGGGTGATACCTGCTACAGTATGGTAGCTTATAACATTTGCAACTATAATGTGCCAGTAAACATTTTTACTGAATGAAGCTGTGTGTGTCTTTCTTGCTATTCTCCACAGTCTTACACAATCCACTCTGCAACAGCACTGCGGTCTTTAAGCTTACATTAGCCTGTGTATAGCACTGTTCAATGTATCATAACCAGGGTTGTGGCTACTGCTGATTACAGAGGTCATCGCCCAGTAGTTGTGTCAGGAAATTAGAGGGTTTTAATGTTGTGACAGACATGAGATAAGATGAGATAAGCCTTCATCCATCCCACAGCGGGAAGTTTGCAACATTACAGCAGCAAAGGGGTTGTGCAAACAGGAGGCATCAGTAGGAAAAAAAAATAAAATACAGAGCAATATATATATACATATACAGTTAAATGAAACTATTTACATGAAAAGTACTTAATATAATATTAAATTAAGAACACTTTAAGAGAAAAAGCAATGGTGAGCTGGAGTTGATCCTAGTGCAGCGCCATCTTGAACATGATGAGCCTTTTTAAAGCCTGGTACTGATCATTTTTGCAGAGTTAAAATCAGTTTTTAGGCCAGAAAGACAAGATTCTGTATTTCTCCACCAGAATTAATGTTGTGCATTGAGGGACAGGCTTTGAAACTGAACTTTAAAAATGATTTAGAGGTGTTTTTTTTAAGTTTTCAATAGCTAAATGTAATAAATATGTATATTTAATAAAATAATATAGAAATTGTGTGGAGGTAGGAGGAGTAAGTATTGTTTAATTCGCTTGCATAGTATAGAAAAAGCATTTACATCATCCAGTCTCCTTCAAATATGTAAAGGAAGGTGAACAACACAATCTGGCACCCCAAAAACTGTTTGTATATGTAGCATTAAACCGCACTACACAAGTTTCCAGTAATGTCATAGAACTGTGTCTTGTACTGTTCTGTTTTGGGACCCACTCAAATACCAGATGATGCATATGTGCACTGTCAGGAATTTAAAGTTGCAATGCAATCCTAATAAACTAAACTGATCTCAAGGGGTTTATCCTCATATCATAAATTTGTATAATTGCAAACAACTTGCACCACTTTGCAAAACACTACACAATACTGCTGTATTATGGAGCATTAGTGAGGTCACACTAACTCATAGTCTACAACAATACGCCTGAACTTTTGGTCACTTAAACGTCAAATATTTTAACACGTTTCTTTCTGGGTCGTGGACCGGAAGTCGGGATGCCAACCCGTCTCCCTTGACACCTGTGTCCCCACCCCAATCAGTGAGGCCCACCTGTATTTATTAGCGGCTGCCCAGGCAACACGGTCGCTGTCTCTGCTCCAAGCCTCCGCCGACACCTGTGGATAAGTAGCTGCAGCGGCCCATCACGGGAACTCTGTCTCCGGCTGTGAAACATGGCCAGGACTGGTTTCTGCGAATCCAAGCCCCTGCTGGACTTACACAAGAGGGTGAGCACCAGTCTGCACAGTGGGATCAACAGACCCAGTCTTTATCATGGAAATAAAAACATTAGATATGAAGTGCTGTGCCAGTTTTCAGGCGCTTGTGTAGTCCTGTGCAACTGGTTATTCATTTCCCTTAATGACACTGTTGATTTAGACTGTTTTCTAAATAATCAGTGGCTGATAGTAACATTTTTTGAGCAATTGATTTGGGGAAGTTTACCCTGATCTCATATTTACACCTGCCTGAAGGTAACTTGCACTTTTTTTGCAATTTAAGCTGTGTAAATAATCATACTTTTTTTTTTAGAAGTGTTTCTCTATGGTCATACTCTAAATAGGCTTTACAGGCCTGCTCCATGTTTGTGCTGTCAGGAGACTAATTGCATCCACCTGCCATGATCCCAGGTGTTGATTAGATGGGTGGAGTAAGACCTCAGTAGCTGATGACCTGAAATAAACCACTGTTTTAGCACATATTTGAATACATTACTGTCCTCTGATAGTAACTGATGTCTATACAAAGATTAAACCTGAGTCACTTTCAAAGATATTAGATATTTTTGATTCAGCTTTGGAAAAATAAATGTATAAATAAATGGGTAGGCCAGAGTCACATTAGTACCCATGCAATGACTTTCTGTTGTTCCTGCAGGCGGATGAGAGGCGAGCCCCGTTAAGAACTTGGTCTAATGCCTGTGGGCCCATCGATCGCTGGCAGCCTGTAGAAGTAGACGAGTCCAGGATGGCTCCTGTCAAAATGGAGCCAGAGCGCAGATGGGTACGCCTTCCTTCCTGCTTGTCGTCTTCACACAACATACTACAGTGTCTCTCATCATTGCAGTTGTCATAACTTATCAGTTTATGAGTCCTCCATGATGACTGTGTGTCTAGAGGAAGGTCAGGATTTAAGCTATTTGTAGTCTTGCTGATCTATGAACATGAGCTGTTTCATTCTCTATGAACTGATTTGGTTTAGAGCCTCAGCTTGGAATATTTAGTCTTTTTTTCTGTCATAATCATAACAATGCCACATCCAAGTGAATGTGTGTAAGGAGATGTCTGTTTGCAGGAAAGGAGGTTATCGACGCAAACAAGTGAAGGCATCATCATGGGGTTCCATGAAGACACATGCTCAGCTGGTAAAGTGAAAAATACCAAAGGATTTAAAATTTCCTCTCACACAAGAGTCTCAAATAAACACCCTTAATATGAGGATAGCAGCACTTCCTATATTTGGATGACAGTCGCTGTGAAATGAAAAATCAAAATCAGCTTTATTAGGTTTATATTTGATAGATATATGCATGTTATATTAACTGTTCATCAGAGTGATGGCCTGTACAAGCAGTCCTCTTTCTGGATAAAATTTGGGATTCAGTGCTCAGATGGCAGCAGATGGTTATTTTATCATGTTGTAAAAGACGAGTGAAACATAATTTGCATGTTGTGTTATTCCTCCTTGTCCTCCTTTCCATCCCGTGTAGCAGATGGGTGTGTGGAGGAGCCTGTGCTTCTTTACCCTCCTGGGCTGCAGGGTCTTCACAGCCTACAGGCACTGGTGCCCAGCTTGCTGCGCCATGAAGTGGAGACGGCACTGGAGAAACTGGGCCTCATATGGGACCGGACGTACGCCTGGGACATGTTCTTGGATATGATGGTAAGACATCATGAACAGAAGTCACTCAAGGGTTGGTACTTCCTAAGGAAGGAACATAATCCCTTAAATATGCTATATACACACCATGCCACTAATTGTATGCAAGAGGGACAACCTAGATTGGCACAAACACTTGTCGCACTGTATCTCTTTAAATATTTTAGTGTGTGCCTCCTGTTCATCTGTTTTCACCCTGCAGAGAACTCAAACGCGACACTCCTTTCCAAACACTGACCTGCCCCGGCATTTCACTTCTGCCACTCAATCTGTCCTGGTCGACTGGCTTATTCAAGTACATGTGAGTCTCACACAACAAAGCTGTAGTAAAAGTGTGGCTGTATTTGTTCTGAGTGTCAAAGTAAAAAAGAAAATCATATAAACTTGAGTGAGGCTACATTAAAGGAGCAGGTTGATGTTTTTAGGAAATGCGCTTTTCCACTTTCTTGCAGAGAGTATGACAATATGAAATCACTCAGGTCTGTACAATGAATATTAAGATACAGCCAGCAGCTGGTTAGCTTAGCTAAGCATAAAGATTGGAAACGGTGTAAACTGCTAGCCTGGTATTGTCCAAAGGTAAAAAAACAGCACCTATAAATCTCAATAATTAATCAGTGCAAAAACCAACGTTTAAAAATGTAGTTTTACGGGGGGGTGTACCATATTTTTTTTTCGGCCAGGCACAGTGACTTCCTAACACCCCCCCACCCCACCCCAAAAAAAACAAGTAAATCTTTTTTTTTTCCCCCCAAAAATTGTCAAACTGCTCCTTTTTTTTCTTTTCTTTTCTTTTTTTTTAAATTTCATTTTGTTTGCTATGGTTTTCAATCTTGTGTGCCTGGTTTATTTCCCACTAGGAAATTATGCATTTTCAGGAAGAGACCCTTTATCTCGCCGTACACCTCCTCAACCGCTCCCTGCGTCAGATCAAGGTGACCACCATCAACCTGCAGCTCCTCGGCATGGTTTGCCTCTTCCTCGCTGCAAAGAAGGAAGAGTGTCTCCTCCCTGAGGTAAGATGACTCAGCCCTCCCAGACAATAAAGCTACAGTATGTTAAAACTGATTGACTGCAAATGGTGTCTGTCTGCTGCTTAATATATCTAAATAATCCATGATTGGTTTGTTTCTGGCTGAGTAGAGAAAGTATTTCTTTAGATTTCATTTATACCTAGACTTAAATTAGTGTAGTAATGAGTAACAATGAAAATTCTCTGTTCTAAGAAAACACATATTTCCTTTGTGCTCTGTCCTCCAGGTGTCTGCACTCTGCTACATGATGGACCACGCCTATACAAAGCATCAGCTGCTGCGAATGGAGCGCAAAGTCCTCCTAGGGCTGAAGTTTGATTTGTCCTACTGTCCCCCTCTGCATTTCCTCCTCCTCCTTGCCTCCATTGCTCGCTGCAGCGCTAAGGTAGATCTGCATTGTGTGTTCTTTGTCCTGTGTGAGGGGTCGAGGTTGTTTTCCAGTATGACTAGATCTTATGTGTCATCCTTGCCACAAGGCGGTGTGGATGGCTCGTTATCTGCTGGAGCTGTCTCTCCTGGAGGGCCAGTGTGTGGTGTTCCTGCCTATGCAGCTGGCAGGAGCAGCTCTGTGCATGTCCCGCCAAGTTCTGCAGGAGCCCCCAACGGCAGAAGGGGAGGCTGCCTGGTGTCTGGCCTCCAGCATCCATGTTGGCAGGTTTGTTTATTGACTCATAAACTGCACTCCCCTCATGCCCTTTTAAAAGCCTGTACCTCTGGCATCATCAGCAGTGTAGTTACTGAGCTCTGGCTTCTCTGTGGAACATCACAGATACACTTTACCTTCTAGGGTTTGTTTGGTTTTTTTTGTAGTATATTACTCAGCATCCATCCCACCTGTCAATTTTTAATTAGTATGCTTTGGTTTTTCAGTGAGCCTGCCCTGCTGAGGATCATGCAGATTCTGGCCAGTGCAGCAGCGAAGGCCCACACCCAAGAGACCTGCGCTACTTTTATTAAATTCTCCTCCCCAGAGACCATGCAAGTCAGCAGACACCCAGGTCTAAAGAACGCCGCTGGTCTGCTGGGTGTATGCACTTGACATTCCTGACCGCCAGAAACTTGGTTATATACTGAAGCTTCAAGGTAGAGAAGCTAGACCAGTATCGCTTGAGGACTTGACTCCTGTGTGGTCCAAGCCTCTGACCAAGGCTATATGTTCTTTGCTGTGGATCCCGAAGAGTTGTCATGTGAATGGGTGAGGAAAAAGTGTGAAAGACTTGATGACATGCATTGTTTGAAGAAGGACTGCATGCTCTTTGCATGTATGTGATTTAGCCAACTTAGTGGCACGCCTGTTTTATGATCTTATCTTGCAGCCAGCTTAGAAAATGTTTGAATTGTATTAATGTGTCCTTGTCTTGTCATTTTGTGAAGAGGATTTGGGCTGTTTATGAAGTAATTTTGAACGTTTTAATGTTAAAAATAAAGTGTCTGCTGCAAAGTTTGGAGTTTCAGCTGTTTATTTGCACAAAATTGTGTAATTTCTGCATGATAACAGAGCCCCCCTTCTGACTGCAGGGCTGCGTTGTTGGCCAGTCTGCTCACATGTGCAATCCTCCAAGCATGCAGACAGATGACTGGCTCAAAGGAGTCACTGTAGAGAATGTTGGACAGCTGGTACGGCTTTTATTAAGAGTGTTTCTTTTTAATAACTGTAAAGAAACAAATGCACATTTTGTACAAGCTACGTATTGTAAAATTGATTATTCTGTACTGAATCAGCTCGTCCTACACCTATAAGATGAGCCCACTGCTGATGCAGGATACATGTGTGCAAGTCTGTGGTCACTGGTCAGCTGCTGTTTGGAATAAAACCCAGCAACATGACTCCAGACTGCATTCAAGTTACTGAATGCAGCTGAAACCATCTTTCTTATCACATTAATTTTATCTTGATCCTAAGTGACCACATTACTCCAGTTCTAAAATCCTTACACTGGATAGGCTACCTGTCACTCAGAGAGCTGATTTCAAAATCTTGCCACTTCTGTATAAATTGCTCTGTGGCTCAGCACCCAAAGATATCTCTGACATGCTTGTGATATATGAGCCATCCAGGACCCTGAGGACATCTGGGGCTGGCCTACCGACCGTCCCATGAGTTGGAGCAAAACAAGGTGAAGCAGTGTTTTGTAATCACACAGTAAAAACCTGAAATAACCTCCCAGATGATGTCAGACAAGCCCCAACTGACCTTTTGAAGCTAAAACACATTGCTTTTATTACACTGCCTACTCCACCCTATAATTACTGCTGACTACTTGTTATCTTTGCACCTTTTGTCTGCCATTTTTCTATTTGATTTTTTTTTTAAATATTAAATCATTTAGTCATTAATTTAACCTTTTAGATCTTGTTTCTCTTTACTTTATTATTGTAAATCTGTATCCTTTCTGCTTTATATTTTATTGCTCTGTAAAGCTGCTTTGCCTTACCTAAGTGTGAGCTTTTAAAGTAAGAAGTCTTCTAGTGAGCCTCTTTGTTTACTGCACACTTGCACCATGTCTCCTTCATCTGAGTCGCTGCTGCATGTGTACTACTTCCTGATTGGCTGTCGCAGTTGTCTCATGGACCAATGGGTGTTAAGCTCGCGGAGAGATCGCTGTTTCTGGTAGGCAGTCTAACAGGCCTCTGAGTTCAATTGAGGTAACGTCAACGGGACAATAGCTTTCACCTCCATTTTTAATTGTGTCTTCGGTGGGACACCGGTTGTGTGTCTTCTATCTGCATACAGGATTGAATGACACGATATTTTGATATTTATTATGTTTTTGACCCCCTTTTTGTAACATGTCGTGGTTATGTCAAATGGCGTCGTCAAGCTAACCGACATTAGCCACCGGGATTTCAAAACAAAAGCAGGGGAAGTTACGACTTCGGTTAAACGCGCAGGTACGTACTGACTGATGGTTTTAAAACAAACTGATTCTGAATTAAACTGAATATTATCAGACTAGGTGGTATCATTCGCAAAATCGCCCTATTTTTGTATGTGTGCGTTTTATTTTGAAACCAACCGGATATGACAATTTTAATCTTGTCTAACCTGAGCTGAATCTGACGGACGTTGCCGAACAGCAACCCCATTTCCATGTAGTCTTATCACAGAGACAGGAAAATGATTAATGAATTAATATAAATCTAACAAAAATGATTTAAAGATGACGCTCCATGTCAACGTTGTCATTTTCCGGCGCTTTAAAAGTGAGCTTAAGAGGGGAAAACACCGTTACTGGAAATAATTGGCAGTTTTACATTTCAAGGTAAGTTTTCCACCACAGACAGGAGAGCGTGTAAATGTGCGCTTTAAAAAAGATACGATATTAATAACTTTTTCATCTTTTACACATATGTTGGCAGGTTAGCAACGCATAATGTGGTTTTAATTTCGACCAACCACTTTGATTATTATGTGATTTTTGTTGCACGTTCGTGTCCAGTGTGAGAGGAAGTGTATTAAACAGAGGACCGGACTTGAAGTTGAGTGTTACATAACAGTTGGAGGGGGAGGGGGTGCTGCTGGTTCATCTGAGGGCGAGAAGTGCTGCCTTCACGGAACCACTGCTGGAAATATCAGAAGCACGGGTTGATCGTACGCAAATGACCAAAACTAAATTTCCCAGGATAGTGAAAAATGTCTATGTTAAGGTAGACGTGGTGATTATCAAAGGAGAAAGAGCAGTGAAGTTGTACTGCTGATCATAAAACTCAAATGCACTTTTCTTCCACTGTAGAGCTTCCTAAAATGTGATTATCAAATAAACTCGTCAACCCAGTACAATGGAGAGCATGGGGCAGTATTTTATATCACTCAGGGCCAACTATGGTAAGCGGTCTGTCTGATAATATCCCCAGCAGATTCAGCCACCCATGTACTAACTGTTCTTCTGCATTTAGATTTGTACTTTGGCCATTGGATACAGGTCAGCCAACCCCTTGTGGAGGCAGAGCAACACAGACAAAAAGTATTTATGAATTGAGGTGTGGACATTTATGTCAGTTCCCAGGCATTTCTCAGAGGCCATTAGCAGAAAAAATATGAGGACACATGTGGAGTGTCATTTTAGTTTCTACGCCTTTCAAGATTGATGGTTTTCATGCAGTTAGTTGTGTGTGAGAGAAGGAATAGGAATTAATAAATGCAATGAGTTGCAGACATCTTGTTGAAATATGAATTCTCTCTGTGCTTACTGTTGATTACAGTTTGATTTACAGCACTTTCTTTGGGTAAATGTTATAATAGGGTCTTTATTTCTATGGACTCAAAACAACACATATCCCCCACATTCCTCTGGCTCCATGTAAACACACAGTGGGCGTGTACAAGTGCACACAAGCACATAAACAGAGTGAAGGGTTTTTATCTAATGGGCTTAGTTGTTTTTTTTTCCCTTCTGACTTCTCATGAGCGTTAGCAAAATATATGTTTACACACAGAGTTTTTGCACTGTGACTTTTCAAAAGTTTTTGCTCTGACTACATTGTGCAGTGCTGTACACTGCAATACAATATCTGCAGGAGCATCAAAGACAGACTATATGCTCAAATTTAGACTTTGATAATTGACATGATGTGAAACTGAATGTTGTGCAGAAATCATCTGCGAGGTATTATTAGTGGGCATGCACACAATGTCATGGTGCATTGGTTGCATCAGTTACACCTCCCAAAGGCAAATTTACAACTGTCAGCATGTTCCATTGTGGATTCACGTGGAAAAAAACGATTGGAAACACTATTAAAGTGGTGTAAAGTGGTTGTGCAATCGACCACACAAACAGATTGAGAAAGAACTCAGGAAAGTGTTTTTTACACACCGCTGCCCAGTATGAAAGGGAAGAGGAGGAACATGATGTGTCTTTAAAAAGCTAGTACGTAGCATTAACACACAGGGGGTTTTTTTGGGAGGGGTGAAACTGTGCTGCTGATGAAGTGATATAACTACGCACCATTGGTTTAAATCTGTGGTTATTATTGTCATCAAAGGGATTTCAATGATCATCAAGCCATTCACAGAATAGGGGCCCACACATTCAAAACAGTTTATTTGATGGCATATTTTTTTTGTGATAAAGAATTAACAAAAAGAGCATTTTCTATACACAAGTTTATTATAAGTTGGATCGTATTGTAGCATGCAATGGGTGATATGCAGGGTACAATCTGAGCTCGTCACCGGTCCAGCACAGTGCTAAAAGCTCTCATTGTTTTGTTTTTATGCTGTTAATTTTTGGCATTTAGAGACAGACTAAATATGATGTATTCTCTTGTTAGGGTCCAGTATGCCTAAAGAACAGCGCAGCTTGAATGAGCACAGTCCCTGTGCTACATCCAGCAAGAACGCTAAAAATAAGAACAACAGTACGACACTGTTGGCAATGCGTGATGCGAAAGACGCAGATGACTCCAGTGGAAGGGGCTCCCGCTGCAGCTCAGAAAAAGATTCTGGCTACTCTGGTGAGTAATTGTGAAAAAAAAAACAAGAACAAATCGGTTTGCCAAGTTTTATTCTCTACGGCTATTTCCCATCCACTCCCATTTATCTTTACAAGTCAGATCAGGTAGTGATAATTATTTAAGCTGAATGGAACAAACAGTGCAGTACATGATGGGCAGGACAGTTTTTTGGAAGTGAAATGAAATCACGAGGAGGTTGTTATGCTGACATATTTACATCCACATCAGATGACGTGTAGGAACTGAAGCAATTTATATTCTTAGTTTCTTAATTTTAAGGGACTTAATCAAATTACAACTTCTCTGCAGATGGCTCGGACTGGCAGCAGACAGATGTGGAGGACCAGCACAGCCAAAAAAGTCAGTCCAGAGGCAGTGAGGGTGCAGAAACTTCACAGCCTGCTCAAAACAAAGACCTTAGGCAAGGGAATCCTGGGAATCCTAACTTGATGTTAGCAGGCCATGAGCTCCAACCCATCTACATCATCAATAACATGGTGCTTAAGCAGGTAAGACAGGTGAAGGTGCAGCCAGTGAGGTTAGGACTAATGATTGTCTTAAACTCTAAGTGGAAATGGAAGAAGTGAGGGAGCATACCCCAGAGAATGTCCTTAACAGAAGCATAGATGAGGAACTGAGGCAAGTAGAGAGTTGCAGGATGAAATGGGTGCATAAAGAAACAATGTTATAAATGTAGTTGCGAAGTGAGGCTTCAAAATGTCAGGGATAGGTCAGGGATAGGTCAGGATGACTGACTATTACCGTAGGAATAACATGTACTTAAATACTCTCACTTCTTTCTATGGGAGCGTTGGCAGTTTTTTGTATTTTTCATGCTGAGTGATTTTGTTCTGAATTTCTGATGGGACAGGTAAAGAGTTTTCATTGTTTGCCTGCCAAAAACAGAGACGAACAAGAGTACATTTAATGTCTAACCAATCTCGCAATATGATTCCCTTAAAACAAACTAAATTTACGTCAATCTTCTTCCCTGTCCCATCAGCCGGACACGATCAAGAAAAGAGGTCAGCTGCCCCCGAGAAATGGAAGCGGGGAAACTGGCAGTACTGGTCCTACTCATATGATCCTTTTCCAGCAGCCTAGCTTGTCGCCGGCCACCGTCCAGCTTCACAAACCTTCATCGCGTAAGCCCAACAGCACAGGGAAGAAAGCGAATAGCACATACCTGCCCATTCTCAACTCCTACCCCCGTATTGCACCACACCCCAGCAAGAAGCCGCCTGATAAAGCTTTATCAAACGATGAATCACAGAATCTGAGCAAAAGGGTGTGCGTTGAACACAGGAACACTGACACACCTGTGACCAGCAGTCTACCCAAGCAGCACGTTTATAAGCAACCCACATCATCAGTGGTAACCTCTGGGTTGCCATGTTCCTCTTCAACCAAAGATGCTCAATCCGCTTCCAGTCCCATTACTGTCTCCTCGAGCCAGGACTCCCCATCTGAGTCCAGTCTGCACAGCACCTCCTCCATCCTCACAACCAGAGGACTTCACAGAAACAGCACCACCAGTACTCGCCATCGCCGTTTCCTCAACACAGTAGAAATCCTCAGACAGTCAGGCCTGTTGGACATAACGCTGCGCACGAAGGAGCTGCTGCGTCAGAGCAACGCCACTGAACGGGACATTGCCCAGCTTCGCCAGCACACAGAGCTGCTGTGCCAGGCTGCCACCAACCCCACCTGCAGTCTTAGTGGTATCACAGCCTGGGAGCAGGTACACCAAGCAATGGCTGAGTCTGGCAGGTACCCCAATCTTAAAATCCTGCAACATTTTCAAATCTCATGTCATTCAGATATTTCCACAGGTGACGTCAGTGGGCCACTAGCTGTTGAGAGCTCAGAGGTGCCAGTATCTCGCCTTCTCACTACTATATCACACCCAAACTCAGAACAAGGCAGGGAGCCTGAGGTCAGAGATAAAGTCTCAGAGAAAGTCACCTTTATGTCTCCTGACAGTTCCACCGATTAACACAATCTGCAGTGCCTTTAAAGGGAAAGAGATTACTCAGGACAATGCTGGGATATTATGTGTGGTTTTAATGGTTTATCCCTGGTTATTTAAACCTAGTTTTATAAAGATTGTGATGAAATACCTCTGCAGGTCAGCTGAAATCAAACAATGACTTGAGGTTAGTACTTTTTGTGAATGTTGCAGTTTTGTTTTCAGTTGCCCTCCTTTACCAGAATTAAGTGTTTGACATCTGAAAGCTGATCAATTATGAATTTACAAAAGTGCAATTAAGTCCCAAGGCACCATCTTCTACCACTACAGATTTTATAGAACCACACAGATGAGTTGAGGGTCTCTGCCTGTGAGCCACTTAAAGGATTATGTGAAAATTAAATGTGTGTTCCTGGGAGGCAGATGAAACTGTCTCACACACAGGTGGCACTACAGTGTTTAATTCAGGGGAAAAAAATATTTAAATCCATCTCCTGGGAGATGAATGTTGAGAAAATGGTTTCTTGCAACCTGCTGTACCAGAGAGTGAGCCAGCAGTCCAAACATGGTAAGAAACAAAACTGGTGCCTTCAAAGCGACATAAAGTCAAAGGCTACCAGAAAAATGGTCCATAAAGGAAACACGCAGGATTCGAGGCACAACTAGGCACTGAGTGCTGCGGAGAAAATCTCTCTGTGACATCACAAACTGCACTACCCTAGACTGCTGCAAGGACATCTATCCAAATGCTCCCCAACAAAGCCTTAAAAACTTTTTTTTTTTTTTTGCATTATCAGAGCAAGGTTATCATATTGTGGTCATTACCAATATTACCAGTACAGCACTCATAATAACGGAAGCAATTCAACCACAGACTATGAATTCAGCACAGCATCTGCAGGGGAGTAATTAATACTGTTTCCTCTCATGGAGCAGCTTTGTTTTCCATCTTCACTTTGACAATACTCCTTTTTGTTGTTGTTGTTTTGTGGTCATTTGTTTTAATCAGAAATGGACAACTGTTTGTATTTGAGTTTAAGAGAGTCTGACAATCTTAAAGTATAAATGTATGTTGCGTGGTTAAATGCATGTGGTATGATTTTTCATTTATTTCTTTGTGCTTGTGCATATGACAGACATCACAGCCAGCAGTGCACACATTCTCAAATTTAAAGTGGTTTATACAACGAATCTTCATCATTTTAAGGTTTTTAAATAAAACAACATATGAAGAAGAGACATTTTCAGTGTATAATCCGTTCAGATTGATAATGGTAATGCGTTTCTGCGATGGCCTCACATGTCCCTGAAATAATCCAGCTGCTACCATGGAAACTGAGTCACCAAGGTCGTGATGCACATGTGTGAAGTACATGCATGTGATTGACTATTTCCTGAAAGCCACCAAAACAGTTTCCTTCCCAGTGCATCCATTGAGCTTCATGATGACAGAGAAAATTCTCTGCATTCGGTGTGCTTGGAAATTAATGAGTGACTTTGTCAGGGCAAGAAAATTATAGTAAATGCACTGTTGTCACAAAGACTGTGGGAGAAATCGGTGTTATTGCTCTTGTTTTAATTATATATTTCTCTTCAGATGCATTTCCAAAATACATTTCTGGAATCTCTTAAAATTTCAACAGCATTTTGCACAGATAACTAACTAATTTGAATCAGCGTGCTTAAACTGCTCATTATTTTTAATCAAAAAAGAAATCTAATGGTGATTATGATGTGACTTAAAAGATTACAATTTATTTCTGAAAAAAAAAAAAATCACATTGAAAATGTGTATGTCAAAATACTTTGTTGTTTTACTCAGTGTGGGACATTTACATTTGGTTAATACTTCCACGACACTTGCAGTGATATCACATAAGTATCCATGATCATCTTAAACTAGCTAAGATAAATAAGACTGGTCTTGTTTGTCTTTGACCTTTGGACTATAGACTGCAGAGAAGCAAAGTGACGTCATAATCGGTAACCAGCGCTCTCAGTGCCAGATCGTAGTTGTCGGACACATGAATACAGTTGAAAAAGTTCAGGATCAGGTTAAGTTTCATATCAACTGGTATTGAACAGTTACACATCGTCCTTTATGATGTGCTTCAACTCAGTTTCTGTCTTCTCTGTCAGTGAGTAGTCAGGGTCAGGTCGGCACAGATGATGGAAACGCTGGAAATAGAGAGAAATATTTAACAAAACTTAACACTGTCCAGTTGAATTATTGCATAATTGTTAATGTTAAAATGGCCAAATGGGATGATGTAAAATTTGATTAAAAGGCCTATATTACACCATGCCATTTTTAAATTAAATATCACAGTCAGTTACACAGTTGTCCCACCTGACTGAGGTTCCCAGTCCCAGTTCCCAGTTTATACAGCGCACATCCCGGCACAAGCAGGATGGAGGAGAGGGCCAGTACCCAGCCCAACGCGTATGCCCAGGTTGGGTACACGTACCAGCGATTAAAGGTCAGAGGCTGGTACTCAACTAAAGAACATATAAAAGAGCCCTAAGAGAAACAAAACAGATTCAGAAGTTGTTTTTAAAGTATAGAAATGTATTCTAGCATAAAAATCCATGGGGTTAAAATAAATAGCAAAGACATACTCAGGTGTAGAGGAACAAGGACCATGGCTGTGGGGTTATTTGTCATGAAGATATGTAACATTGAAAGCCAACTCACCAGTGAGACCAGCGGTGTGAGGTAAAGCCAGCAGATTTTAAAGAATGGGTTGGCATGCACACCTGTCATGTCCTCAATGATGCCATACAGCCGCTCCGCCCCTTCATAGGAGATGAGGTTGGAAGATCAGTTGGAGTGTTAACATAGTTAACTTGCTGTTCACACACAGTAGAAACAACAATGATGCTACACACTCTACTGTCAGTAGTAATGTAGTTTTTATATAGTAGGGAAGGGGTTATATTAAGGATGGCTCCAGTGCATTGTCAAGCAGACTTTTAGGCACACCCAAAAAATCCAGGACACAGACATGGCGGTCTAACTTCACAATTAAATATGACAGAGTTTACAGTCTTTTAATGTTTTCAACAAGTATTTTCGACATGTATTCTGTGTTAAGGAAGATGTCACTGATTTTGCTTTAGCTAGACTTCAATGCATCCATTTCAGCAAGACTGTTCTTCTTGCTGAAGCCCAAATGATGATAGTTTTCTCACATTTGAAATGACACTACTGCATCATATTGAACCGAACAGTGAAATTTGTGAACTGTTACACCCCTGATGATCAGTACAATGACCAGATCCAAGTAGATGCTTTTGAATGATTTAATATACTCACTTTTATACATGTAGGTTAGTTTGCTAGTTGTTGAGAATACCACCCAGCTAGTGAAAACATTTCAGTATCCTCAGTTGTGATTTATTTTTTTAAACATTTAACTTAGTGAATTCCCTAAATTCATGGAGTTTCACTATGAATTTGTGGCTGGAGTGCCCCTTTAATAACAGCATACCTACCAAATATCCATCCCACTGCCAGGGTTTCAAACAAACAGGGAAAGAGGACGCAGGCTCCGTTGCAAGCGTAGTACTCAAACAGCTGAAACAAGTACATCCCTCCCTGAAGAAAACAGCAAAGGCATCTATTAGACATGTGCTTATTTAAAGTCATAAGCTGAAAGCATCTTGTTAAAATGATAAGACAAAGTCATGACACATAGATTGTTATATTTTGGAGCCAATACACCGCCATAATGGATTAATGAATAATAAATGTACATATAACACAACATACTGACCTCAGTGATCATCACAAGCTGAGAGAAGAAGCACATGAGGCAGAAGAGGACGAGGAAACGTTCCCGTCGGCCTGCCCTGCGCATCACTGTGGGAAACATATCTATGATGGATGTCATCACAACCTCCATGCCAACAAACTGCACAGAGGAAGGACAAGACACAATATGTACATTTCCAAAAGTGAACATGTTCTTCCACAAAGAGTTCTTCCAGAGTGCATCTTACTTGTGTGTCCAGACCCAGGAGAATGATCATGACAAAGAAACAGATGGACCACAGCTGGGGAAGGGGCATCATGGCTACAGCCTGAGGGTATGCAATGAACGCCAAGCCTGGACCTGGAACACAACAATGCTAGATTCATCACTGTCTACCAACTGCCTTTGTTGTTTAATCTATTTAGCATCTATGACTTTGTAAAGTAACAGTAACATGCATCCACATGGTGATGCAATTGGAAATATCATCAATCAAGTAACATAAACAACAACCTCCTCAGTCTGTCAAGATCGAGGGGACTTGTGAAGTTACTGGAAATCACAAATGGGTTTAAAATACCACAGGAGGATGAGGCATTTAAAATCTCCTTGCATGCATCTCTTCAGAAAATTACATTTGCAGAAAACTACATGTACACTATGGAATTTAGAAGTATGAATCTGAGCACTGAATGACTAAGAAACAGACTGAGTCAGAGTCAGATGATGATTGAGGGACTCTAGCTTGTACTGATGTGAAATAAATATTTGGGTAGGAAAGAAAAGACATGAAGAGAGTGAAGCAACAAGGGAGGTACCATGAGGACATGAGTGAAAGTGAATGTGTGCATGACGTTTATCTACTGTGTGAGTCCATGCACACACTGCAGTGGGGGCTGAGTAACTATGAATGCTCTCTAGTTGTCTAGTTGTCCTCAAGATGGCAGCAAAGCTTTTTAACTCCTGTCTGGTTAGACAACTGGCTGCGTCTTGAACGGCATTGTTCACATACTTGCCTGTGTACTATGCATGTTGCAAGAAGAAGCTGAAATAACTCAGATCATACAGCACTTTGTGATTTGCATGAAGTAAACAACAAACAGTGGCGACACTCAAACAGGAGGTTAGTATATTGTTAGGTCTGAGATCACCACAGATCAAAGCAACATTGTTCATAGTGTGTATCAAGCAGGCTGTGACAATGAGGAGTTTATTTCTCCTGTTCTGCCAACACTGCCCCTACCATTCATGTGCGTATTCCATCTTGCGGACACACCATGTTATTTTCTGAGAATGTGCAAAACCAATGCTCCAAGGCAGCCATGCACATAAATGTATAGTTAAATCCAAACAGTCAGACTTGCTCCACACAGCTACATATTCCATGAGTACGGGGACTGACCTACTGGGACAGTTGACGTGGATATCTCTTTAAGACACATCACTATGTGGACCATGCACAGGCTTAAAAGTCCCAGGTGTGCGTGATTACACTGATGAACACTGATTGGAATTGTTCTCCAAGCCTTGCTCTGGAGATTGTCTCTTCACTCAGAGAGACGGGGTTACAGCCTAACATTCTCTATCATATTGAGACAATCTTTCTACACAGAGACATATTCCATATTTACGGGGACTCCATTGCAGGGAGACCAAGGAGACTGAGCAGATGCAGCGCCTCAAATGAGACATTCCCACCACAAGAGTGCCCTAAACATTGCAGGTCTAAACAACCCCCCCCCCCCTACCTCTGGCTAGGCCAACTGAAAAAGACACCTTCCTGTTCTGGGTAAGATGGGCCCACCAGCGCAGGGGCACAGTGATTATGTTGTCTATTGCATAGTGGTGTCCAGCACCTGTTCCCCAACACCACATTCAAGTGTTAAAACCTGGCAAAAGTACATGGACATGAACATGTAGCAGATGCACAAAGCTTCGAGTGCCCAGTCCCCCACCACAGGAAGCTGCTATGCCCCGGGTGGATTGCCGGAGGGTGGAGCTGCATGTGCAAAAGGGCAAATGGCACCACTTGTACTGATTGAAAATGAGAGAGGCTGACTTAGAGGGATTCTTGCCTCTCTGTGCAAATGTTACCAACCCAGCCCTGGCATCCCTAGTATTTGGGTAGGCACATCCTGATTTTCCAGCTGCGTTTATACAAATCTCAGTGGGCAAATGTGTGCTTGTGACTGAAAGAGCATTACCCATAGAGTCCAGTAGAGGGAGGAGCCTATGTGAGCTTGAACATCATTTATGCTGAAGGCTGGGGTAGGCATCATAGGGCAAACATCCCATGATGAACTTTCAGCATATTGTAATTCAAATGGTCTGAGAGGAATGTAAACGTTTGCGCCTCCTTTTGACTGGTGTTCCAAGCTTTAGAATATCTAACCAGTGCAGAACTCTTTGGCCAGTCAAAGGTCATTTCATAGAGAGGGTCTTCATTGGCTGGTCTACAGATGCAAATGTGCCTGCATGTCCATTCTGTGAAACTTTCTACAGTGAAATAAATCATTTTATGGGAAACACTGGGTTACTGTATGGAGAGTGTGCATATATCTGTAGTTGTCAGGTGGGAGGGGCTTAGGACAGAGAGAGAAGAGAGGAGGGCTGCAGAAGGAGGGTGTATTTTTAAAGCAGATTTATGCCATCCTTAGCTTTAAGGGATCATTGCTGAAATGATAGTTAAAAAACAACTCTTGGGCAGTAACAAGGTGCCAGAATGGTTTTACTATTTCTGAGTATCTCTGGTGATTTCGTTACCTGACTCGGCCACGTCTGCAATGGGAACACCCTGCTGGCGAGCCATGAATCCCAGCACAGAGAAGACCGCAAACCCAGCTACCACGCTGGTACCACTGTTCAGTAAACACAGCCATAGACAGTCTCTGCAAAACACAAAAACATGCACACTCAATCATGCGTTTGGTCATGTGTGTGCAAACATGAGTGAGTATGTGTGAGTGTTTGTATCTGTCTGCAGCTAATCTCACAAACCACTGAATTAATTACCCTAATATTTGTTCACACAACTGTTCACAACTCTACTGAGTGCACTTTTCTAGTTTACTATGTTACTGAGTAGCTCTTGTTCACCTCTCAGAAACGTTCATGCGAGAGCATCAAGCTCAGCTGCACATTGATAAATACTTACTTATAGCAGTTGTTGTTGTAGGTGTTGTAGCTGCCCAGCACAACTAAGGTGCCCACACCCACACTGTATGAGAAGAAGACCTGAGAACCAGCCTCCATCCAAACCTGTTCCAACACAGCAACAGTGAGTAAGTTTGTCATCCTGAACATTAAACTGTTGTAGTATATGAAAAAGTTCCAACCTGAGGGTCTGCGAGTCGTGAGGGTTCAGGCAGAAGATAAAACACTACTCCTTGTAGAGCTCCAGGAAGAGTGAGGCCACGAATCAAAAGAACTACCAACATCACATAGGGAAAGGTAGCAGTGAAATACACCACCTGGGAAAGAGGAGAACAGTTTAATACATTTAGAAATATACAGTATACACTTTTACTACAATATGAGGACTTATATAAATACCTTTCCTGTAGACCGGACCCCTTTCCAGATACAAAAGTAGCAGACGATCCACATTGCGATTAGGCACAACAGCACCTCCCACCTGATGCTGCCTATCTCCTCAATCCCCCCTGAGATAGCCAGCACTCGTCGTCTAGGAGGTAAAAAGATGGACAAAGAAATGTGTTATTGAGACTTGTAAGGGATCATTTTGGGGCATTTTAAAGAACCCAGAGGTTCAAATTGTTAATCTGCGTGAACATACTCCCAGAACTCTGTGGCAGCAGAGGTGGTGTTTGTCTGGTTGGTCCATACAGAGGTGTTATTTTGTGCTGAAAAGTCTATGCAGTCATCTGAAAGGACAGTGAGAAAAAAAATTCCAACAATAATCACGAAACAGATGTATTATGACTTTTGTGGCTCAAGGGGAGGTTTAAGACAAGAGGTTTAAGGCTTAAGACTTTTTAACAAACAGCCTGAATTACAATCTACTGGTGTGGAGTTTAAAAGATGCGGGCAGACAATTATAATATGGAGAAAGTTAGGATCCAGTGTTTCTGAAACTTGAACCATGTTACGGGGTTTAAGTCTCGTCCTTTGTAGCTTTCATTTTGACCAGTAATTTTTTTTTTATCTCTTACAAGTACCCCGACTTTATTAAAGAACAAAATTAAATCACTTCATGTAACACAGATGTCACTTGATTAAGTGCTAATATCTCCTATTTTAGCATTTGTATATTATGCAAATGCCAGAAATTTACATGCATTAATCACCTTGTATTGCCAACTTGAAAACAGTTTTACCATAACGTAAAGAAAGAGTTCTTCTACAGCTTTCTCGGTTTCCTATAACAGCCTTGTGACTAAGCTCTTTGTAAAGGACGGAACGGTTTTGCCTGGAAAACCCAAAGGATGTGACATTTGTGCATATTCCCGAGTGCCTTGTCTGCTCCCCTATAGTGTGCAACAGTAGCTAACGTTAACTCAGCAATTGAGTCCACCAATGTCAGCAATCAGCTAGCCCCCACCACAACAGAGTCCAGTATAAATATTAGCACTGAAAAAACGATTTATTTAGGGAAACCTGCCTGGCCAAATGGGAATGTGACTGACCTTGGAGAAAAACTAGGGTCAGCAGCGGAATGGGATTTGGGGATTCATTAAAGGACCTTCGTTTGGTTTTAAGGATCAAAACAGACTCCCAGCTGGCTTTCTTTCTTACCTCATCTATGCTAGCTTGTGCCTACAGAGTATGAGTGCGAGCAACAGGATGCTGATTTTAGATCATTTAAGAGCCACCAGTGTCACTAATAACAAGGAGTTTCTAAAAAAAATCCACATAGTACCTTTAATGCATGAGACAGTATGTATTTTACCTGTGTTCCAGTAGTTGTTGCAGCTGGCCCAGGGCAGCTCTGAGCTGAAGGAGAACACCAGGTAGAGCAAAGCCCAGGACAGAATGATGATGTAGGTCATACAGCTGTAGAGGATGATCAGCAGCCCACTATAGCCAATACCTGCAGAGCCACATTTGGTGCATTCTGTTATAGACAATCATTATGAAAACCTGACCTCCTCCATTTATTCATTACCCAAACTGCTTAACAGTTATGGTCATGGTAACCTGAGTTGCTGAATGTTTATTTGAAAGGGAAACCAGATCGATTTTAAAGTATGTTAACAGGTCTTGAGGAGGACTTCTGCATATGTGAAAAAAAGTATGCACAGAGAGCAAAATCTTAGGGATTGGCTCAGGTGATGTCACTTGAGTCAGCGTGTGTTGGGGCTGAACTGAAGACTGCAAGTTTGAGAATGAAAAAACAAAAATCTGAGGGTGTGGAGGTAGAATGAAGTGATCTCTGCAGCCAGCTCATAATCTCAGCTTGAGGCTACGTCAGCCACGACTAGCATTTCATATATATCTATTTACAAATGATGAACAGCCTCAGATGTCCAAAGAAATCTAAATGCAATTTTAAGAACTCACTGTAATTATAAATGTATTTTAGCTATATTTCTACCCCTGTGTAGAAATGCAAGCATCAACACGCCCAACCAAAGTGGTGTATTTTGCACAATATTTAATGTCTTTAAATATGACCACAATAAGCCTTCACATGTGCATCAATATTAGGTGTGCACAGTCATCCAGAGGGCCATATGTTTGACACCCCTAATTTAGAGTGTTTTCGGTGAATCTTCAATCTCAAAAAAGTTCTGAACAGCATACCTTCTGCCAGTGGGCATAGCTTCCTCCAGCAGGTGACGCCACCCTCCTGGGTGTACTGGCCTATAGTGGTCTCCAGCAGGAACAGTGGTACACCACAGGTCACCACAAATACCAGATATGGCACCAGGAATGCGCCTGAATTTTCAAAGTATACAACAATGCATGCATCTACCACAGATTAAGGACAACAAGTAGAGAGCATCATATTTGCTTACCCCCTCCATTTTTGTAACAGAGGTAAGGAAACCTCCACACGTTGCCCAGTCCGACAACATTTCCCGCCACAGCCAGGAGAAACTCCACCTTACTGGCCCAATGTCCTCTCTCCTCCACCTTCGCTTGCTTGTGTTTTGTTGCACATTTTTTATATGACATTCCCAAAAGCTCAGTCTGATTGCAATGGTCCTCTTAACCAACATGCTCTGTGTCCAAGTCTTCTCTGTCTTTATATTTACTACTAATGTGTCATGTAATCAGCAACTGCCTAACAGTTAATCAGTTCTTAGGTCTTTGTAGGAACACACACCTAGGTATACGAAGATAGGTTCATTAAGTCTGTTTAAACATTAATACACTACAAGCAGCTACCATCAGACACTGAAACACCTGGTTAAGACTGCTGAAAATGTCTATTCAAGGTCATTGGAGGGGTTGATATGGCAAAGAATAGGGGTGACTCATAAAGTCAAATTATTAGACATGTTTTGTCTGCCACAAAGATGTACTTTTTTAATCTGTGTAGCTCAAACATATCTGTAGGGTTTCAGTGATATTTACGTCCACTGCTATTTTCACTGTGGTGTTAAATGATGTGATATGAAACACTGTGATGTTTTTGCTTTTTGTTAATGTTTTCATCTCCCAGGATGTGTCTGATAATTAATTTAAACAAAATGACATGCAGTTTGGGGCTGCAGTGCGTAAAGAGCGCAGAGGAGGAATGCGGAGCTTTATGTGTCTATTGTTTGGGATTCTTTAAAAATATTTCAAGCCTATTTAGAAGATAATTATATAGTTTAGAGCATGACTATTAAAAAAGAGAGGAGAATAGGGAGAGGAAGAGACTCTAACATACAGGAAGGGTTCTCCTTTTATGTATTTTCAAATTTGATATCTAGAATCTCCTGGAACTTTTACCACATTTTGCACAGATAACAGTGATTCATTTTAGGGGCGCCCCAGTAGCTCACCCAGTAGCTGAGTCCATACTGCATCAGCCCGCATTCAAGTCCATCTCAGGGCCCTGTGCTGCATGTCCTTCCCTTTCCTCCCCCCTTCATATCTCTCTCACTATCGATAACACATGAAAAATGCCAAAAAATCTCTTAAAAAACTATTTATTTTAGACATTACTTGAATTATACAAGTTTTTAGTGCACATTAACCACACACCATGTTGGATCAAAATAGAAATCTGATGGTGATCACAGTGTAACTATAAAGACTGTCCATTTTCTCTGCAAAAATATTAGTTTGAAAATGTGTTTTTTATGTGTTAAAATAGTTTGTCGTTTCACTCAGAGTGGGACACTAACAGAAGAAAACCGTGTCACCTTGCAGTGATATCACACGAGTAAAGTATCCATGATCAGCATGACGTAGACAAATAAATGAGACTGGTCTTGTTTGTCTTTGACCTTTGGATAGTAGACGGCAGAGAGGCAGAGGGAGTGACATCACAAACAGTAATCAGCTCAATCAGCGCCAGATCTTGTTGTACGGAAGTCAGGATCAAGTAACGTTTCATATCAGCTTAGTGGACAGTTACAGGTCTTCCTCTTTGATGTGCTGCAACTCAGCTTCTCTCTTTTCTGTCAGTGAGGAGTCAGGGTCGGGTTGGCACAGATGATGGAAACGCTGAAAATGGAGAGAAATATTAATCAAAACTGTTACAAAACTTAACACGGACCTGAGGAAAATATCAAAATCCCATGTATCAGTTAATGTTTTGCACATTTGTACTTTGTCAGAAAAAGAATCATGAGGCAAGATCTGTGATCTCTATTTTGTAAGGTCTTAAACAGCATCTGATTTTTGGATGCTGTCCACAGCCACTTGAAGTATTGCACAATTGTTAATGTGTAAGTGGCCCAATAGGACCCTGTACATTTGATTAAAATTTCTAAAAAAAAAAAAAAAAAAGCCTTTCTATTATATTACACCATGCCATTTCTTGAATTGATTATAACAGTCAGTTACACAGTTGTCCCACCTGACTGAGGTTCCCAGTCCCAGTTCCCAGTTTATACAGCGCACATCCCGGCACAAGCAGGATGGAGGAGAGGGACAGTACCCAGCCCAACACGTATGCCCAGGTTGGGTACACGTACCAGCGATTAAAGGTCAGAGGCTGGTACTCAATTAAAGAGCATATAAAAGAGCCCTGAGAGAACAACAGAAATAGATTAATAAATTGTTTGTTTTTTTCAGTATAGAAATGTAATGATCATAAAAATCCATGGGGTTGAAATAAAGTGCAAAGACATATTCAGGTGTAGAGGAACAAGGCTATGGTAAGGATCAGAAACATGAAAACTCACCAGTGAGACCAGCGGTGTGAGGTAAAGCCAGCAGATTTTAAAGAATGGGTTGGTGTGTTCACCTGTCATGTCCTTAATGATGCCATACAGCCGTTCTGCTCCTTTATAAGAGATAACTCAGCATGATCAGTACATAATGAACAGATCAGACTAGATGTTTGCGAATGGTTTGAGGTACCCACATTTCTATACATAAAGATCAGTTTACTCTTTTTTTTTTAATCTTTGTGAGTTCCCTGAATTTATGGAGTTTGACTATAATATTGTTGAAGTGCCCCTTCAAAAACAGCATACCTACCAAATATCCATCCCAGTGCAAGGGTTTCAAACACACAGAGAAAGAGGATGCAGGCTCCGTTACAAGCGTAGTACTCAAACAGCTGGAACACATACATCCCTCCCTGAAGACAACAGCAAAGGCATCTATTTGACATGGGTTTATTTATTTTACTTAATATGTCAACCTCAGATGTATAGAAGCCTATTCCTAACACCTTTGTTTCCCCACATTATCAAAATATATTTACTTACATTTTGTAATAATTAAAATGTCATTAGCTGAAACTATCTGACCTCGGTGATCATCACAAGCTGAGAGAAGAAGCACGTGAGGCAGAAGAGGATGAGAAAACGTTCACGTCTGCCTGCCCTGCGCATTACTGTGGGAAAGATATCCATGATGGACGTTGTCACCACCTCCATGATAACAAACTGCAAAGAGAAAGGATGAGTCAGAATAAGTACCTTTCCAAATGTGAACATGTTCTTCCACAAAGAAATCATCCAAGTGTATCTTACATGTGTGTCCAGACCCAGGAGAATGATCATGACAAAGAAACAGATGGACCAAAGCTGGGGAAGGGGCATCATGGCTACAGCCTGAGGGTATGCAATGAACGCCAAGCCTGGACCTGGAACGCAACAATGCAAGACTCATCACTGTCTACCAACTGCCTTTGTTTTCTAATTTATTTAGCATTTGCATCTGAGGTGGAGCAAGTTTTAACTTCTTTATATACAGTTAGCTGGCTTAGTTTAGTTTCCCAACCGAGAGAGAGGTCCCTCCCTAGCATATTTGACTGAGAAGGTGGATCTGACTCATAGACTGTTGTGACCCCTTGCTGACAATCTGTTGCTTGAAAAGGCCATACCCTGAATTCTGCATAACTTTAAGCTGTAATAAAATGTGAAAACATGAGTTTTTACATTTGTCATGACGGGGGAAATAAGCTATAGAGACCAAATGGTCCTGTTGTACCAGGCTGGAAACATTTTAAAATGGGTGTCTGTAGGGATTGACTCCTGTCTGCAACCGGCCTCAAATGGCCATTCAAACAACTGCAGTTTTTGGCACTTCTGCGTTGGCTTCATTTTTCAGGTTGCTGCTAGGGCTAACTACAACAAACCACACAGAGGATTGGACTACAACACTCACAGAGATAGCATAACTTCACAGGTTAGACTCAGTGCTGCTGCTGCTTGCCACCAGCTGGCTGTGACATTACCTGACTCGGCTACATCTGCAATGGGAACACCCTGCTGGTGAGCCATGAATCCCAGCACAGAGAAGACTGCGAATCCAGCTACCACACTGGTAGCACTGTTCAGTAAACACAGCCACAGACAGTCTCTGCAAAACACAAAAACATGAACGTACTCAGTGAATTTATAGCATATAGTTGATCATTTTTCAATATGTCACTATGTAGCTCTTGTCCCCTGGTGCATCTGTCAGAAAAGTTATTGTCACACAATGATAAATACTTACTTATAGCAGTTGTTGTTGTAGGTGTTGTAGCTGCCCAGCACAGCTAAGGTTCCCACACCCACACTGTATGAGAAGAAGATCTGAGCACCAGCCTCCATCCAAACCTGTTCCAACACAGCAACAGTGAGTAAGTTTGTCATCCTGAACATTAAACTGTTGTAGTATATCATGAAGCTCCAACCTGAGGGTCTGCGAGTCGTGAGGGTTCAGGCAGAAGATAAAACACTACTCCTTGTAGAGCTCCAGGAAGAGTGAGGCCACGAATCAAAAGAACTACCAACATCACATAGGGAAAGGTAGCAGTGAAATACACCACCTAGGGGGAAAAGACAACAGTGTAAGACATTAAGAAATACACTGTATATACTTTTACTACAGTATGAGGGCTAATATAAATACCTTTCCTGTAGACCGGACCCCTTTCCAGATACAAAAGTAGCAGACGATCCACATTGCGATTAGGCACAACAGCACCTCCCACCTGATGCTGCCTATCTCCTCAATCCCCCCTGAGATAGCCAGCACTCGTCGTCTAGTAGGTAAAAAGATGGACAAAGAAATGTGTTATTGAGACTTTTAAGGAACTTTTTAATTTGTTCATCTACGTGGACATACTCCCAGAACTCTGTGGCAGCAGAGGTGGTGTTTGTCTGGTTGGTCCATTCAGAGGTTTTATTTTGTGTTGAAAAGTCCATGCAGTCATCTGAAAGGACAGTGAGATAAAGATATAACAATAACCACAAAACAGGATAATGTATAATGTATTATGTGTCTCTGGGGGCTTCACAGAGACCTCACATTATACCAAACCACCTGCAACATTGGGGAGAACTTAAAAGATGTGGGCATTGACCAGGCAGAAAAGATCTAATGAAAGACATTGTCCAGTTGCATCATCAGGAATGTAAGATCAGTGTTTCTGAATCTTGACCCAGCCTCAGCCTCAGCTGTTTTCACTTTGACTAGTTCTTATAAAAATCAGTCTGAAATCCCCCAACTTTGAGGAAGAGCAAAACTAAATCTCTTTTCATTGGAACAAACGTGACTGAAGTGTTGATATCTGCCATCATAACATCAGCATATCATGCAAATGTTTATACTCTGTTTAACAAGTCAACCTTTAATGCATGAGACAGTATGTATTTTACCTGTGTTCCAGTAGTTGTTGCAGCTGGCCCAGGGCAGCTGTGAGCTGAAGGAGAACACCAGGTAGAGCAAAGCCCAGGACAGAATGATGATGTAGGTCATACAGCTGTAGAGGAGGATCAGCAGCCCACCATAGCCAATACCTGCAGAGCCACATTTGGCACATTCTGTTATAGACAGTCATTATGAAAACCTGACCTCCCCCAAGGGCGGCATGGTGGAGTAGTGGTTAGCACTGTCGCCTAACAGCAAGAGGGTTCCTGGTTCCAACCCGTGCTGGAGCCCTTCTGTGCGGAGTTTGCATGTTCATTGTGGGTTCTCTCTGGGTACTGCGCCTTCCTCCCACAGTCCAAAGACATGCAGGTTAATTGGTGACTTTACTGCTTATAGGTGTGAATGTGAGTGTGAATGGTTGAAAAAGTTGAAAAAAGAAACACTTTATTTTCTCTACTGTCTCTTCTTCAATAATACTAATGCTAGGAGTGTAGCCTCAGGCAGAGATGATCAGCAGGCTGCAGAGGTCTGGTAAGCTCATTTCTGACTCCACACCATCAAATTTTTTTAAAACTGGTAGTCTGCAGGCCAAACCCAGGCTGATTCAAGTGAGATCAGCTGAGGTGATTCCTAAGGTTTTGCATAACTCACTTTGGAGCAACAAAACGCTTTACACAACTTTTTTCACATATGGAGAAGTGCTGCCCAAGACCTGTTGACAGACTTCTTTGTGTGGAATCAATGGAGTTTTCCTTTAACATTAACATTCAGCAACATAGCTAAAAAAAATTCCCCCACCCCTTTTTAAATATTAATTATCTTCTTTTAAATCTTGTAAGGGTCACAGCAGCCTGTCACAACAGAACCAGTCTCCTCTCTGTCTAGTGTCACTGAATCCTCAATCTATAATAAAATCCTGAACAGCATACCTTCTGCTAGTGGGCATAGCTTCCTCCAGCAGGTGACGCCACCCTCCTGGGTGTACTGGCCTACAGTGGTCTCCAGCAGGAACAGTGGTATGCCACAGGTCACCACAAATACCAGATATGGCACCAGGAATGCTCCTGAATTTTCAAAGTATACAACAATACATACCTTTATGTACAGGAATTAACAAGTAGAGAGCATCATATTTGCTTACCCCCTCCATTTTTGTAACAGAGGTAAGGAAACCTCCACACGTTGCCCAGTCCAACAAAATTTCCCGCCACAGCCAGGAGAAACTCCACCTTACTGGCCCAATGTCCTCTCTCCTCCACCTTCGCTTGCTTGTGTTTTGTTGCACATTTTTTATACGACATTCCCAAAAGCTCAGTCTGAATGCAATGGTCCTCTTAACCAACATGCTCTGTGTCCAAGTCTTCTCTGTCTTTATATTTACTACTAATGTGTCATGTAATCAGCAACTGCCTAACAGTTAATCAGTTCTTAGGTCTGTGTAGGTACACACACCTAGGTATACAGTCTGTTTAAACATTCATACACGTCTTGCACTACAAGCAGCTACCATCAGACACTGAAACACCTGGTTAAGACTGCTGAAAATGTCTATTCAAGGTCATTGGAGGGGTTGATATGGCAAAGAATAGGGGTGACTCATAAAGTCAAATTATTAGACATGTTTTGTCTGCCACAAAGATGTACTTTTTTAATCTGTGTAGCTCAAACATATCTGTAGGGTTTCAGTGATATTTATGTCCACTGCTATTTTCACTGTGATGTTAAATGATGTGATATGAAACACTGTGATGTTTTTGCTTTTTGTTAATGTTTTCATCTCCCAGGATGTGTCTGATAATTAATTTAAACAAAATGACATGCAGTTTGGGGCTGCAGTGCATAAAGAGCGCAGAGGAGGAATGCGGAGCTTTATGTGTCTATTGTTTGGGATTCTTTAAGAATATTTCAAGCCTATTTAGAAGATAATTATATAGTTTAGAGCATGACTATTAAAAAAGAGAGGAGAATGGGGAGAGGAAGAGACTCTAACAAACAGGAAGGGTTCTCCTTTTATGTATTTTCAAATTTGATATCTAGAATCTCCTGGAACTTTTACCGCATTTTGCACAGATAACAGTGATTCATTTTAGGGGCGCCCCAGTAGCTCACCCAGTAGCTGAGTCCATACTGCATCAGCCCGCATTCAAGTCCATCTCAGGGCCCTGTGCTGCATGTCCTTCCCTTTCCTCCCCCCTTCATATCTCTCTCACTATCGATAACACATGAAAAATGCCAAAAAATCTCTTAAAAAACTATTTATTTTAGACATTACTTGAATTATACACGTTTTTAGTGCACATTAACCACACACCATTTTGGATCAAAATAGAAATCTGATGGTGATCACAGTGTAACTATAAAGACTGTCCATTTTCTCTGCAAAAAGCCAGCAAGTGATGCCACCCTCCTGGGTGTACTGGCCTATAGTCGTCTCCAGCAGGAACAGTGGTATGCCACAGGTCACCACAAATACCAGATATGGCACCAGGAATGCTCCTGAATTTTCAAAGTATACAACAATACATACATATAAAAAAAAAAAAAAACAAGTAGAGAGCATCATATTTGCTTACCCCCTCCATTTTTGTAACAGAGGTAAGGAAACCTCCACACGTTGCCCAGTCCGACAACATTTCCCGCCACAGCCAGGAGAAACTCCACCTTACTGGCCCAATGTCCTCTCTCCTCCACCTTTGCGTGCTTGTGCCTTGTTGCACATTTTTTATTCAACATACTCAAAAGCTCAGTCTGAACCTGATCATCCTCTTAACCTACTTTGTGTCCAGGTCTTCTCTGTCTTTATATTCACTACGTATTGTGGAAAGTAATAAGCAACTGCTTGATAGTCAATGAGTTCTCAGAGACAATTAATTATCTCCAGGATGAGCAAGAAAAGCAGTCTCTAAACAAACATTAGAAAACATCGCTCGCATTCAAGTCCAGCCCAGGGCCCTGTGCTGCATGTCCTCCCCTTTCTCCTTTCACATCTCTCTCTCATTATCAATAAAGTATGAAAAATGCTTTTACTTTTAAAAAAGTAATTTATTTTAGACATTATACAAGTTTTTAATGCACATTTTTCATTGCATTTAACTACTCACTATTTTGGATCAAAACAGAAATGTTATGGTGATGATGATGTGACAGGAAAAAAAAATCCTGAAAAATACCAGTTTGAAACTGTCTGTTTTGTGTGTTAAAATGGTTTGTTGTTTCATTCAGTGTGGGACATTGACAGGAGAAATCTTGCGGTGATATCACACAAGTAAAGTATCCAAGATCAGCATGATGTAGCTAAAATAAATAAAACTGGTCTTGTTTGTCTTTGACCTTTGGATTGCAGACTGTAGAGAAGCAGAGGAATTGATATCACAATCAGTAACCAGCCTACTCAGTGCCAGATCTTACATGTTAAACACATTATTGCAGGTGACAGAGTTCAGGAACAAGTAACGTTTCATATCAAATGGGAGTGAACAGTTCCATCTTACACATGCTCCGCCCTCTACTGGACTCTTTGGGTAATACTCCTGTAATCACCAACATGCATTCGCACGCTGAGATTTTCATAAATGTAACCAGTCAATCAGGACATGCCTACCCAAATACATGAGAATCCCACAATGTACAAGGAGGTAGAGTCTCACTGTCAGACTGAGCAGCCTCCTCCAAGCCTTTCCCAGCTGACCCAGAGCCGGTCGCGGCGGACCATCAAGGCAGAAATACGCCTGCCGGGAGCCGTTCAGCACCGCAGACCGTCGGACTAATGGGATGTCGGACCAATGGGCTGTCGGACCAATGACATGGACCCCAGACAATGACCTCATTTGTAGATGATGACATCCCATCAGTGTCCTGTATATCAGTGTCCCACGGGAGTCCACCGACAACATCTCTCCACTGAGACCTCCTGCTGGTGATAACTGTCTGCCCGTGTCAGGTAGAACAAAGGTTACTATATTGTAACCCTTGTTCCATTAGCACAGACGGAGCCCTCCACTGAGGGGCCCTGTCACACCTCTCACTGAAGAGAGTTTAGGATGCTAGACAGCCTTCAGCTATACTTTGGGGTCCACATGTATTTGGGTAGGCACGTCCTTATTGACCGGCCATGTTTCTCCAAATCTCAGTGGGCAAATGCATGCTCAGTATTGGAGGAGTATTACCCAAAGAGTCCAGTAGAGGGCTCTGCCTGTGCTAAGAGAACTAGGGTTACAATATCGTAACCTCAGCTACAGATCTTCCTCTTTGATTTGCTGCAACTCAGTTTCACTCTTTTCTGTCAGTGAGTAGTCAGGGTCAGGTCGGCACAGATGATGGAAACGCTGAAAATAGAGAGAAATATTTACTAAAGATTTACAGCAAAAATGTGACAAAACTTGAAACTTGACTCATTTTGATGGGATTCTCAAAGAGTTTAAAAGTATATGGATATGATGATAAAATCAGTTGAATTGAAGACATGCATTGCTCCTTTGCTTTTTATACTCAAATCCCTTGTATCAGTTAATGTTTTTCTTAAGGATTTAAGAGAAAAAGAATAATGAAGCACAACTTTATTTTCCATTTCATAAGGTGTTAAATAGCATCTGATTTAAGGATGCTATTCGCAGCAAGTTGGATTACTGCATGATTGTTTGATAATGTCGAAACAGCCCAACAGAACTGTAAAATTAATTAAAATAAGAGAATGAATTCCTATTCATTATATTTCACCATGTAATTTCTTGTATTGATTATAACAGTCAGTTACACAGTTGTCCCACCTGACTGAGGTTCCCAGTCCCAGTTCCCAGTTTATACAGCGCCCATCCTGGCACAAGCAGGATGGAGGAGAGGGCCAGTACCCAGCCCAACACGTATGCCCAGGTTGGGTACACGTACCAGCGATTAAAGGTCAGAGGCCGGTACTCAACCAAAGAACATATAAAAGAGCCCTAAGAGAACAATAGAGAAGAAAGATTAAGAAGTTGTATTTTCAGTGTAGAAATGTAATCTATCATAAAAAAACAAGGATTCAAATAAAGTGCAAAGACATATTCAGGAGTATATGATAAGGACCAAGGTTGTGGGTTTATTCAAAGTGCACATTGAAAGCCAACTCACCAGTGAGACCAGCGGTGTGAGGTAAAGCCAGCAGATTTTAAAGAATGGGTTGGCATGTTCACCTGTCATGTCCTTAATGATGCCATACAGCCGCTCCGCCCCTTTATAAGAGATGACTCAGAATGATCAGTACATAATGGACAGATCGGACCAGATGTTTGCAAATGATTTGAGGTACTCACATTTCTAAACATAAATATCAGTTTACTCATTGCTGAAAATACTAATCATCTGGTGAAAACATGTGTATACCTTCAGTTCAGATTTTTTTTTTTTAATCTTTGTGAGTCCTCTGAATTTATGGAGTTTCACCATAATAATGCTGGAGTGCCCCTTAAAAAAAACAGCACACCTACCAAATATCCATCCCAGTGCCAGAGTTTCAAACACGCAGGGAAAGAGGATGCAGAATCCATTACAAGCGTAGTAGTCTAACAGCTGGAACACATACATCCCTCCCTGGAGACAGCACAGACATTCATTTGATGAGGGTTTGTTTATTTTGCAGAATATGTCAATGTCAGATTTATGGTAGCCTTTTCCTAACACCCTATTTTCATACTGCTTACAACATATCAAGTTACATGTTGCAATTAAGGAAGCTCTGGTGAAAGTTCTGACAGGGAGAAAACACTTTTCATGCTCTGGTAGTGAGTTTCTTTCTCACCCTGCCATTCACTCCTTGCACGCATGCTCACTCACTTTCTCCAGATGTCATTGTCATCAGCTGATTCACAATCAACCAACAGCACAGCGACACGCAGTCTTTGTCAGCCTATCGTCTTACTGCTCCACATTTTGAATATGAGTCTTTCTTGCTGTAGTCATGTTCGCCCTCTACCTCCCCATCACCACCTAGTCTTTACGGATTCATCAGCCTCATATGCCTCAGCAGTCAGCAGCCTCAGAGTCAGCAGCTTCGTAGTCACCAGCCACCTTCACCACCAGTGTCTGGACTCCATGGGGGGATTTATCCTGCTGCCACTCAGATGTCCCTTGATCACAAATTATCTCCTTCTGGTGTCCAAGTGCCAAAGACTTCTGTTAAATCTTAATCAGCACAAATCATCTGTTAATCTGTACACTCATATTATGTATTAAATATTATCTTTACTTCATTCTTCAAGATTCAAGATTCAAGATTTAAGATAGCCTTTATTGTCATTGTACAGACACCTATACAACAAAATTGGAAGTGCCACAACCGAAGGTGCATTAGGAGTAAATATAAGAGCAAAAATAAAACAAGTGGAGACAACCCAAGACAAACAAGACTAACGAGACAAGAGCATACAGGTCATGTCATAATAAAAACAATAAGTAAAAAAATTGTATTGCACTTAATAAAAGAAGGTATTGCACTTAAGTCTGTAAGAGTCTGTAAAAGGAGGCATTAGTGACTCATGTGAGCATTGAGTGTCCTGACAGCCCACGGAAAGAAGCTGTTTTTCAGTCTGTTTGTTCTGCTCTTTATGCTCCTGTACCTCTTTCCAGAGGGCAGCAAGCTGAGCAGGTGGTGTCCTGGATGGAGGTGGTCGCGAATGATCTTCCTTGTTCACATGAGGCATCGGGAGCTAGCGATGTCATCCAGGGAGGGCAAGGGACAGCCAATTGTCTTTTCAGCTGACCTTATCACCCTCTGCAGCCTTTTCCTGTCAGCAGCTGTGCAGCCAGCATACCACACAGTGATGGAGAATGCCAGCACGCTTTCAATGGTGGAGCAGTAGAAAGTCACCAGCAGCCTCTGGTCCAGTCTGTTTCTCCTGAGGACTCTCAGGAAGTGGAGTCGCTGCTGGGCCTTCCTCACCACCGCTGTTGTGTTTGCTGACCAGGAGAGCTCCTCAGAGATGTGAGTCCCCAGGAATTTAAAGATGGGGACCCTCTCCACACAGTCTCCGTTAATGTATAGGGGAGTGGGGTCAGCTTTGTGCCTCCTGAAGTCCATGACCACCTCCTTTGTTTTTTTGGTGTTGAGAGCCAGGTTGTTTTTGGCACACCACTCTGCCAGCTGCAGCACCTCGTCCCTGTAGGCCGACTCATCCCCTCCAGTTATGAGTCCCACCAAGGTGGTGTCATCTGCAAATTTAATTATTGCGTTGGTGGGGTGGGTGGGAGTGCAGTCATGGGTGTAGATGGCATACAGGAGAGGGCTCAGCACACAGCCCTGTGGAGAGCCGGTGCTGAGCATGAGGGTGGGGGAGCTGTGGGTGCCGATCTTGACAGTCTGTGGGTGGTTGGTCAGAAAGTCTTCAATCCAGGCACATGTGGCAGGGGGGAAGTCCAGGGCAGCCAGCTTGCCCACAAGGATGTCGGGGATGATGGTATTGAAAGCCGAACTGTAGTCGACAAATAGCATCCTTACAGTGGTCCCTGGGTGTTCCAGGTAACTCAGAGCAGTGTGGAGAGCTGTGGAGATGGCATCATCAGTGGACCTGTTTGCTTTGTATGCAAATTGATGTGGGTCAAAGGCAGGAGGAAGGCAGTCTTTGATGTGCTGTGACATCAGTCTCTCAAAACATTTTGCAACTACTGGTGTTAGTGCAATGGGTCTGTATGTCTGTCTGTCTCTGCTTATTGAATTGCTGTTATAAAGATCAGGCCTGGAGAAGGAACTGTCTGAGGAGGAGCAGGAAGGAGGTGGAGTCTGGTTTGATGTGAGTGTATGGATTGGGTTCAAGTATGAGTCCATTTCCTACACTACCTGCAGGAGAACCCTGGGCTTCCTAGCAACAATTGTTTGACTGAATAAAAACCAGCAGCACTGACTTGTGCCAGACTTCCTGGTAAATCGTAATTGACATGGATTCTTCATTGTGTTATTGTGTCTGACAGTGCAGCCATAGTGTTCATTCTAACTCCTGGTAACCAGGAAATCCTAACAGCCCCGAGGATATTTTACAAATACAATGCTCAGATCATCTTGTTAAAATGATAAGACAAAGTCATGACATAGAGATTGTCACATTTTGGAGGCAGTCCACCACGATAGATTAATAAATAATAAATATGCATACAACACAACATACTGACCTCAGTGATCATCACAAGCTGAGAGAAGAAGCACACGAGGCAGAAAAGGATGAGGAAACGTTCCCGTCGGCCTGCCCTGCGCATCACTGTGGGAAAGATATCTGCAAAGGATGTCATTACCACCTCCATGGCAACAAACTGCACAGAGAAAGGACAAGACACAATATGTACGTTTCCAAATGTGAACATGTTCTTCCACAAAGAAATCATCCAAGTGTATCTTACTTGTGTGTCCAGACCCAGGAGAATGATCATGACAAAGAAACAGATGGACCACAGCTGGGGAAGGGGCATCATGGCTACAGCCTGAGGGTATGCAATGAATGCCAAACCTGGACCTGGAACACAACAATGCTAGACTCATCACTGTCTACCAACTGCCTTTGTTTTTCAATTTAGCATCAATGATATGCATCCACACGGTGATGCAGTAGAAATTTTATCAATCAAGTAACATATAAACAACAAGAATGGATGGACAGGACGCTGAGACTGGGCTATTCTCTCCAGCCCTGCTGCATTCATCCTCATTCATGGGTACCAAGGAGGTGAATCTATCCTTTCAGAAGGAGGAGACAGATTACCTCTCAGCAGAGATCCAGAACCAGTTACAGAAACAGGCAGTGTCTGTCGTCCCCACTCACGACAGATAAAAAGGGTTTTACATCATGTGCTTCCTGGTTCCTAAGAAGATGGGAGTGTTCAGACCTATTTTGGATCTTCACATCTAGAAGATCCAAGATTCTCCATCCAGAATGAGGTGATGCTCTGTAACATATATGCACAGGAAGAGTAGGTTGCAGCTGTCTGAATATCTCTGGTGATTTCGTTACCTGACTCGGCCACATCTGCAATGGGAACACCCTGCTGGAGAGCCATGAATCCCAGCACAGAGAAGACTGCAAATCCAGCTACCACACTGGTAGCACTGTTCAGTAAACACAGCCACAGACAGTCTCTGCAAAACACACCAAAAAGTGTGTATACCATGATTTCATAGCATATAGTTGATCATTTTTTAATATGTTACTGCGTAGCTCTTGTCCTCTGGTACATCTGTCAGAAAAGTTGATGTCGGAGCATCAAGCTCAGTCACTCACTAATAAATACTTACTTATAGCAGTTGTTGTTGTAGGTGTTGTAGCTGCCCAGCACAGCTAAGGTTCCCACACCCACACTGTATGAGAAGAAAATCTGAGAACCAGCCTCCATCCAAACCTGTTCCACAAAGCAACAGTGAGTAAGTTTGTCATCCTGAACATTAAACTGTTGTAGTATATGAAAAAGCTCCAACCTGAGGGTCTGCGAGTCGTGAGGGTTCAGGCAGAAGATAAAACACTACTCCTTGTAGAGCTCCAGGAAGAGTGAGGCCACGAATCAAAAGAATTACCAACATCACATAGGGAAAGGTAGCAGTGAAATACACCACCTGGGAAAAAGACAACAGTGTAAGACATTAAGAAATATACTGTATACACTTTTACTACAACATGAGGACTTATAGGCTAAATACCTTCCCTGTAGACCGGACCCCTTTCCAGATACAAAAGTAGCACGTGATCCACATTGCGATTAGGCACAACAGCACCTCCCACCTGATGCTGCCTATCTCCTCAATCCCCCCTGAGATAGCCAGCACTCGTTGTCTAGGAGGTAAAATGATGAACAAATGTTTTATTGGTACTTGTAAGCGGTCAGTCTGGGACATTTAAAAGATCCTAGAAGCTTGGTTTGTTCATCTACGTGGACATACTCCCAGAACTCTGTGGCAGCAGAGGTGGTGTTTGTCTGGTTGGTCCATTCAGAGGTTTTATTTTGCGTTGAAAAGTCTATGCAGTCATCTGAAAGGATAGAGAGAAAAATAATAATAATAACGATAACAGGATGATGTATAATGTATTATGTGTCTCCAGGGGCTTCACAGACCTCACATTATACCAAACAACCTGCGACATTGGGGGGAACTTAAAAGATGTGGGCATAAAGAGGTCAAAAGAAAGACACAGGACCTCTGTTGCTTTCATTTTGACCATAAATCAACACAGATACCACTTGATTAAGTGTTGGTATCTCCTATCATAACATCAGTACATCATACCAATGTTCATGCTTTGAGACAGTATGTGTTTTACCTGTGTTCCAGTAGTTGTTGCAGCTGGCCCAGGGCAGCTGTGAGCTGAAGGAGAACACCAGGTAGAGCAAAGCCCAGGACAGAATGATGATGTAGGTCATACAGCTGTAGAAAAGGATCAGCTGTCCACAATAGCCAATACCTGCAGGGCCACATTTGGTGGTTATAGATAATCATTATGAAAACCTGACCTCCTCCATTTATCCATTACCCAAACTGTTTAATGTCGGGACCATGGAAACCTGATCACATGTAGCTACTAAAGCTGCTCTGAAAATGACAAAAACAGCCCACTGTACAGACAGTACTTTGACGTGGACTAAGATTTTACCCATGTTTGTAGCTAATATTTTCGTAAGTATCAATCAATCAATATCATTTATTTTTTATAAGTTCAATTTTTAAAAATTATTTTGAAGCATTTGTTTGTTGTAAAGAAACTTTCTTGTCTTTAATTTTTGTAATAAAAGATAAAGTCAGGCACAGTTACAGTTGATTTTTAAGTTTTAGAAGAGCACTCTTAGCATTTTGCTTATATTTGTAAAATCAATCGAGAACAAATTGAATTAATCAACTTGAACAAATATGAAGATCAAAACCTCTGCTTTCTCCTAGATGGAGTTTTCACAACAAAACAAACCTCTTCTTCATCCTCAAAAGAACCCGCTAATGAAACTATCAACTTCTGGAGCTAATCAATCAAATAGTGTTATAGAGTGTCACTGAATCCTCAATCTATAATAAAATCCTGAACAGCATACCTTCTGCCAGTGGGCATAGCTTCCTCCAGAAGGAAAAGCAACCATACTGGGTGTACTGGCCTACAGTGGTCTCCAGCAGGAACAGTGGTACACCACAGGTCACCACAAATACCAAATATGGCACCAGGAATGCTCCTGAATTTACAAAGTATACAACAATACATACCTTTATGTACAGGAATTAACAAGTAGAGAGCATCATATTTGCTTACCCCCTCCATTTTTGTAGCAGAGGTAAGGAAACCTCCACACGTTGCCCAGTCCAACAACATTTCCCGCCACAGCCAGGAGAAACTCCACCTTACTGGCCCAATGTCCTCTCTCCTCCACTATTGCTTGCTTGTGCCTTATTGCACATTTTTTATATGACATTCTCAAAAGCTCAGTCTGAACCCGATCGTCCTCTAAACTTGCATGCTTTGTGTCCAGGTCTTCTCTGTCTTTATATTCACTACGTATTATAGAAAGTAATAAGCAACTGTTTGATAGTCAATGAGTTCTCAGAGAAAATGAATTATCTCCAGGATGAGCAATAAGTACAGTCTCTCAACAAACATTAAGAAAGTCCAACTGATGATAAACACAAGTTAAACAAACACCTAGATGTCCTGTTTTAACCAAAGGGGTCAAATCCATTTCTTAACCTTGTTTAGCTAAAATATTCCCACAGATGCTTCAAAATGTTTCAAGGCCATAACCATTGCCAACACTGGGGGGAACCAAATCTGCTGAGGGGGTCTGGGTATATGAGAACACAAATGTCCTCATCAGTTGGATCACACATTAAATAGACTTCATCCTGCCAGCTTCCTAGTACAGTTTGTGAACTGCGTAAATGAGGCCATGAGTGGAGCAGGTCATGGTCCAGAGATTTCATCATGTGCGAGTGGTCAAATCGATGACGTTTCTATCACGTGCCTTTCATGAAACTGGAAGAAAAAAGTTTTCCCAGTAGGTGAATACTCCTGACATGGACAATCTCCTGCTGTGTGCTGCATATGTGAAAGGGAATCTCCACACGAGGTCAGGACCTGATTATCCAGACTTTGAGCATACCAGAATGTTCAAAATGTCCTTCAAAACACTTTGAGGCAGGTGAGACAATAATTTCATACCAGGCCTAAAACAATTCTTCACCAAATTTCTCTCAGTCTTTCTCTATGGGGTTCCATTTGTGCCAAAAATATGTCGACACGCGCACTGTCTATGTCTATTAAACCCTGAACTGTCCTTGTGTCATTTGACTTTGTCATTACATCGTGTCGTCATGCTGTGTCATTTGACAAAGTGTTGTTATGATGGGTTGTTTGACAGTGTCATTATGATGTGTTATGTTGTGTTGTCTTGCTGTGTATTATACTAAGTGTTATTTGACAGTGTCTTTACGTCGTTACTACGTGTCGTTACTACGTGTCGTCTTGATGTGTCATCTTGATGTGTCGTTTGACAACGTCGTTGCTATGCGTCGTTACTGCGTGTCGTTGCTATGTCGTTACTATGTGTCGTCTTGATGTGTCGTTTGACAACGTCGTTGCTATGCGTCGTTACTATGTGTCGTCTTGATGTGTTGTTTGACAACGACGTTGCTATGCGTCGTTACTATGTGTCGTCTTGACACGGAACCATAAAAATACTTAATTCGATTTAACACTGGTTTTACAAAAATATGAACATACATGGATAATATTACACATAGGTTTTGAGAATGTTCACAAAAATAAAAGATTTAAAATAAAATACATGATAATATGTGTAACACATTGACACAGCTACACAATAAACATTAGTCAGAGTGATCAGAATTTATTTAAATGTTACAATACAGTAATGCAATAAAATAATAATCAAGGGGCATAATTGTTAATCACTGCTTTCACACAAAATTACACTGGAAACACAGGGCCAACAGTCACCAGTGTCCACTCAACTTCAAAGTTTACTGAGCACCTAATGTAGTTGGGTTTAAAGATACCATTTCATTTCAAAAGTAACACAAATAACAAAAATATTGATTAGACTGTATTTCATTCCAAATAAATCTGAACTGTCGTCTTCTTTTGTATAATGTTCTTTGGTATAACAAGAAAGATCTCACACGCAGTGAAAAATCTTCTAAAATACTGTATGTTTTTATTTCCACCAAGTCAGATGCACAATTTTTCCATGTCTCTCTTGGGTTCCTCCTCACGGACTGAAGGATGAACTGAACTAGCGTGGCCCAAGGATGGCGCTCACACCAAAGTGGTGACGTCACAGTTACCCACAGCCACCCTGTGGTGAACAAACAAACCGTTAACAGCAGTGTTTAAGACAAATTACACATTTCCAAATGGAGTTTCATGATCAATTGACACAATCTGTATCAAAAGACAGGAGAGGACATAGAAACAAAGGTAGCACACATCACAGGACCCATCAGTCTTGTGGTCACACTCAACTTGGCCCTGAACAGACACTCCACGGCAAAACCTGTAAAGGGAAAAAAAACTATATAGCAAAATCAGTCTCCAAAACACATGTNATGACAAAGTCAAATGACACAAGGACAGTTCAGCGTTTAATAGACATAGACAGTGCGCGTGTCGACATATTTTTGGCACAAATGGAACCCCATATTTCTCTCCGTCCGTAGCCAAGTTGTAAAAGACAAATGGGTTAATGACAAGACAGTTAAATCCTGCATTTGAGGTGAAGTGCAGCTGGTTGGTTTCTCAGTAAGTTCTTCTATTGTGTCTGTATGATGTGTCTGTCACAGCCTGCATCCTGCTCCCCTTTTCTCCCTCATGGGCCTCATGTACAAAGACTTGTGGACTTCCTACTGAAACATGGCGTACGCTTAAATCCAGGAAACGTCATATGCACAAAAACATCCAGATGTATGAATCTGTGCGTATGCATGAATCCAAGCACATTTCCTTTGTACATCCCAGTCAACGTGGAATTGAGTGCACATGTTGGAGTACCTGACAGCTCCCTGTCCATGCCCAAATCATATTTAAATGGGCCCTGCACCTGAGATTCCCCTCTGTGCACGATCAGAAAACTAAAACAAAATAATGAGCAAGACGGGAAAACAAAAAAACAGAATCGCTACTCACTGAAGTGGAGGCGCGCAAAAATATCGTTTACTTTTTGGCACGCTGTCCTCCGGCATCAATACTAAACACGAGGAGTGAGTGGGAGAGTGTGTGTGAGGCTGTCAATGCTGTGGGGTCAGAAGTGAGAAGTGGTTTGACATTAAGGTGGTCGTGAAGTGGAGGACGGCTGCCCACCGCTAAAGTGTGGCCAAAACAGGCGAGGGAACAGGAGAGGAGGAGCTCACCCCGTTTGAACAGAGAGTCGCCGCAATTGTGGGTGACACTGCTCTCTAAGGGGTGGTGGGAGCACAGGTGGATGACTCGCATTACCCCCAAGGTAAATACCTATACATTTGTGTAACTTACAACAAATGTGTTTATACGGGTCATACAACAGCCTGCTCACAGCCCTATAAGATATATATAAGAGGTTCATGTGTAAATGTTCATGCGTAAATGTTGTATGGTATTATTTGGTTTAAAATAAATCTCTTGAATTTAAATTTAAACATGCCAGTATATCAAAGGTGTGTTAATTGTTCATCAGTGTTAATTGTTCATGTGTCTCTGATGTGCACATCACTCTGAGGACTAATTGTTTTCACATTTATTTATTGTAACAGTTTCCCAGCATCACCTAAGTGTCGCCAAAGGATCAACAGCTGTAGAAATGTGCTACGCGAGCCATGAAGTTGGCGTGAGGCACCTCACATTTCCAAGGCCATTTCAATTGATACATCTGAACTTTGCCGTGGAAAAGAACGTACGCTACGTTTTGTAGGTGGTTTGTACATGAGGCCCCTGCTCCTGGTAAATTTCCATTCACCACGCCCCCCTCATCAAGACAACTCCACTCACCTGCGCACACAGCTGCTTCTCATCAGCTCATCAGCACTCCCTGCATAAGCAGCTGCTGCCTTTCCCTCAGTGCCAGATTGTTCTTCAACCTCATGCAAGACTTTCTAGCACTTCTTACCTGCCAGCCTCTGACCTGTCTACGTCGTCAGTTTCCCAGTAAACTCACCAGCCTTCTGTCCCCGACCACGAGTTCTGCCTCGGCGTCTCTGGTTTCCGTCTGCCTGTGGCTGTGTGGTGTTTTCCTGCCACGACGTTTCAGCGTGAGCGTTCCCACCTGCTTGTCAATTGCCTGCTACAGCTCAGAGACATCACACACTGCTTTGTGTGTGTGTGTGTCCACCTTTCACCTACCTGTCTGCCCCTGAACCTAGATACTGTGTGTGGGCTCTGAGCCCGAAGAATGAATTATTGATTGAATATCTTCGTCAGCTGAAGTTTCTGTTTATTCTGTGCATAAATAAAGGTCATTACCATCTGTTACTGAGTGCTGCGTTTGGGTTCATTCATATCTGTTACAGTGTCAATTACTCTGACGTACTGTGCTTAATCCCTCCTATGATGGTCGCTTCCTTCCAACAGCATTTTGCACATGTAACAGTGATGTATTTTCAGGATGCCCCAATAGCTCATACAGCAGAGCGTATAGCTGAGAACTTACTGCATCAGATCGCATTCAAGTCCATCTCAGGTCCCTGTGCTGCATGTCCTCCCCTCTCATATCTCTTTCATTATCAGTAAAGTGTAAAACAAATTCCTAATATGTCTTAAAAACAAATTCATTTTAGACTTGAATTAAGTTTTGAATGTGCATTTTACATTGTGTTTAACTACTCACTACTTTGGATCAAAACAGAAATCTGATGATGTGACTACAAAGACTTTTTTTCTGCAAAAATGTCAGTTTGAAAATGTATGTTGAAATATTTTGTTTTTTATTCAGTGTGGGACATTGACAGGAGAAATCTGTGTTGATTAACATTTCCACAACACTTGCAGTGATATCACACAAGTAAAGTATCCATGATCAGCATGACGTAGCTAAAGTAAGACAGACTGTAGAGAAGCAGAGGAAGTCATATCACAAACAGTAACCAGCTCAATCAGTGCCAGATCTTTGATGTTAGACATGTTTTTACAGTTGACAGAGTTCAGGAACAAGTAACTTTTCACATCAGCTGGTAGAAAACAGTTGTATCTCACACATGAGTCCACATGTATTTGGGTAAGTTCATCCTGATTGGTGTTTTATACAAATCTCAGTGGGCAAATGTGTGCTCAGGACTGGAGGAGTATTACCCAAAGAGTCCAGTAGAGGGCTCTGCCTGTGCTAAGAGAACTAGGGTTACAATATCATACCCTTAGTTACAGATCTCCCTCTTTGATGTGCTGCAACTCAGTTTCTCTCTTTTCTGTCAGTGAGTAGGCAGGGTCAGGTCGGCACAGATGATGGAAACGCTGAAAATGGAGAGAAATATTTAACAAAACTTTACAGTGACCTGAAAAACATTTATAAAACAAGACCTGTGCAAAACACATGGTTTTGAGGTGGTTGCATATGTGTTAACTGCATTGTTGCAGAGGCGAATCAGCAGTAATCAATATCAGCAACACTGCTTGTTGGCTGTTGGCAGTTGCATCCCTCATAAAGGGTCAAACTAAGGAGAATGTAGTTTGTACTCTCGAAATCACCATATTTTGATAATAAATCTAAACATTTCACACTTTTAAACACCCTTTTCATTTTGTAAGGTCTGGATTACTGCATGATTTTAGATAATGTCAAAATTGCCCTATAGGACCCTGTAAAATCAGTTTAAATTAGAAACTTAATTCTTTTTCATGATATTTCACCATGTCATTTCTTCAACAGTCAGTTACACAGTTGTCCCACCTGACTGAGGCTACAAGTCCCAGTTCCCAGTTTATACAGCGCCCATCCCGGCACAAGCAGGATGGAGGAGAGGGCCAGTACCCAGCCCAACACGTATGCCCAGGTTGGGTACACGTACCAGCGATTAAAGGTCAGAGGCTGGTACTCAACCAAAGAACATATAAAAGAGCCCTGAAAGAAACAATACAAAGAGATTAAGAAATTTTCTTTTCAGTGTAGAAATGTAACTTAGCATAAAAACCAATGAAAAGACCAAGGAAGTTGGGTGATTCATTATGCTTAAGCAACAATGAAAGCCAACTCACCAGTGAGACCAGGGGTGTGAGGTAAAGCCAGCAGATTTTAAAGAATGGGTTGGCGTGTTCACCTGTCATGTCCTTAACGATGCCATAAAGCCGCTCTGCCCCTTTATAAGAGATGACTTAGGATGATCAGTACATAATGGACAGATCGGACCAGATGTTTGCAAATGATTCACATTTCTGAACATAAAGATCAGTTTACTCATTGCTGAAAATACTAATCAACTGGTGAAAACGTGTATACCTTCAGTTTAGAACTTTCTTTTTTAATCTTTGTGAGTTTCATTATAATATTGCTGGATTGTCCCTTTAAAAACAACACACATACCAAATATCCATCCCAGTGCCAGTTTCAAACACACAGAGAAAGAGGATGCAGGTTTCGTTACAAGCGTAGTGGTCCCATAACTGAAACACATACATCCCTCCCTGGAGACAGCATAGACATTTGTTTGATGAGGGTTTATTTATTTTACGTAATATGTCAACCTCAGATATATGGAAGCCCATTCCTGACACCCTATTTTCATATATATATATATATACATATATATATACAGTACAGGCCAAAAGTTTGGACACACCTTCTCATTCAATGCGTTTTCTTTATTTTCATGACTATTTACATTGTAGATTCTCACTGAAGGCATCAAAACTATGAATGAACACATGTGGAGTTATGTACTTAACAAAAAAAGGTGAAATAACTGAAAACATGTTTTATATTCTAGTTTCTTCAAAATAGCCACCCTTTGCTCTGATTACTGCTTTGCACACTCTTGGCATTCTCTCCATGAGCTTCAAGAGGTAGTCACCTGAAATGGTTTTCCAACAGTCTTGAAGGAGTTCCCAGAGGTGTTTAGCACTTGTTGGCCCCTTTGCCTTCACTCTGCGGTCCAGCTCACCCCAAACCATCTGGATTGGGTTCAGGTCCGGTGACTGTGGAGGCCAGGTCATCTGCCGCAGCACTCCATCACTCTCCTTCTTGGTCAAATAGCCCTTACACAGCCTGGAGGTGTGTTTGGGGTCATTGTCCTGTTGAAAAATAAATGATCGTCCAACTAAACGCAAACCGGATGGGATGGCATGTCGCTGCAGGATGCTGTGGTAGCCATGCTGGTTCAGTGTGCCTTCAATTTTGAATAAATCCCCAACAGTGTCACCAGCAAAACACCCCCACACCATCACACCTCCTCCTCCATGCTTCACAGTGGGAACCAGGCATGTGGAATCCATCCGTTCACCTTTTCTGCGTCTCACAAAGACACGGCGGTTGGAACCAAAGATCTCAAATTTGGACTCATCAGACCAAAGCACAGATTTCCACTGGTCTAATGTCCATTCCTTGTGTTTCTTGGCCCAAACAAATCTCTTCTGCTTGTTGCCTCTCCTTAGCAGTGGTTTCCTAGCAGCTATTTGACCATGAAGGCCTGATTCGCGCAGTCTCCTCTTAACAGTTGTTCTAGAGATGGGTCTGCTGCTAGAACTCTGTGTGGCATTCATCTGGTCTCTGATCTGAGCTGCTGTTAACTTGCGATTTCTGAGGCCGGTGACTCGGATGAACTTATCCTCAGAAGCAGAGGTGACTCTTGGTCTTCCTTTCCTGGGTCGGTCCTCATGTGTGCCAGTTTTGTTGTAGCGCTTGATGGTTTTTGCGACTCCACTTGGGGACACGTTTAAAGTTTTTGCAATTTTCCGGACTGACTGACCTTCATTTCTTAAAGTAATGATGGCCACTCGTTTTTCTTTGGTTAGCTGATTGGTTCTTGCCATAATATGAATTTTAACAGTTGTCCAATAGGGCTGTCGGCTGTGTATTAACCTGACTTCTGCACAACACAACTGATGGTCCCAACCCCATTGATAAAGCAAGAAATTCCACTAATTAACCCTGATAAGGCACACCTGTGAAGTGGAAACCATTTCAGGTGACTACCTCTTGAAGCTCATGGAGAGAATGCCAAGAGTGTGCAAAGCAGTAATCAGAGCAAAGGGTGGCTATTTTGAAGAAACTAGAATATAAAACATGTTTTCAGTTATTTCACCTTTTTTTGTTAAGTACATAACTCCACATGTGTTCATTCATAGTTTTGATGCCTTCAGTGAGAATCTACAATGTAAATAGTCATGAAAATAAAGAAAACGCATTGAATGAGAAGGTGTGTCCAAACTTTTGGCCTGTACTGTATATATATATATATACTAGTCCGTCCATACCCATTGGTAGCTTTGTCACCTTCTAGTGTTGGAGCTTTGAGTGTTTAAAAGCCAACAGTATATGAGTGTGATCAGTATAGGATAACGTGACCAGGTTAAAAGGAGGATAGCTAGATGCAATATGTCGTGTCTGTATGAAGCATAAAGTAACGTCAGCTCTGCAGTGTCCACCATTAACTTCACCCCATTTGTCTCACTACAAAGACACCACAACAATAAAACTCAGAGGACAGCCAAATCATTAAACCAAACCAAATCAATACATGTACACTGAAAAAGTTAAACAGTCTGCTAAGTTTTATACATTTCTGCTAACATTATCTAGGCCCAGTTGTTATGTTACAAGTCCATGAATGGAGGGGAAAAAAGACGCTGTGGTGTGCTACTTTGTTGGCCAGAAGTCGTATGTGATGGATGAGCCGGGCTTTGAAGAGATGGTTCAGGTGAGGTCTATGCAGTGCTGTGTTTGTGCTGTGTGTTGTCATGGACTAGGTAGGCTTCTTGGGAGTGAGGGAGGTGTGCATCTCATACTACTGTATAATGAGGTTTTGTAGGAGTGGAGCCAAATGTTGGCTCAGCCCAAACCTAGAAGGGTCCCGGGGCGTGCGCCCCCAGGGAAATTTTTCCCATTCACTGCAGCAATAGGCAGTATTTTTCAAGGCTTAGATAAGAGAATGCCTGGAAATCTGTACATCATTTGGGAAAAACATGGTAGTTGCCAAATTGCCGAATTGTCTTCATTATTCTGTAACACAACCAGAGTTGGGTATGCAAATGCTGAGGATGAGTAATATCACTTCTGCCATCTAAAAAAAAGGAAAGCTGTCTGATGTTTCAATTTTTGAGTGACATAGGTAGGGTAGGAATTTGCCTTAAACAGTTTTACTAACCTTAAAACCTGTTTTTATTGTGCTATGCTGGAACAGAGTTCTCAAACTGAAAGTTTAGCTGACAACCCTGTAGCATTTGACTCACTGCCACAATAGTCTGGGCTTCTTTAACTGCATATCAAGGATCCCAAACCTGCCATGTAAATGTGGTCTTCAATGTTCTGCATTAGATATGAGATACATATAAAAAACATATACTCAGTTATATCAGATTTCTTTAGCGAATAGTGTAGATCCTGGGTTTCATGAGAAAACATTTAGGGCTGGAGCCTCTCCTCCTTCCCCCCCTCCACCCCTGAGGTCATGTGGTTACAAAATGTCAAATAGCATCATTTGAGCTTAAGGGCTCATTATTGAAATTAAGTAACAAGATGTCAGAATGAGGTGATACTCTGTAACATACAGTACAGGCCAAAAGTTTGGACACACCTTCTCATTCAATGCGTTTTCTTTATTTTCATGACTATTTACATTGTAGATTCTCACTGAAGGCATCAAAACTATGAATGAACACATGTGGAGTTATGTACTTAACAAAAAAAGGTGAAATAACTGAAAACATGTTTTATATTCTAGTTTCTTCAAAATAGCCACCCTTTGCTCTGATTACTGCTTTGCACACTCTTGGCATTCTCTCCATGAGCTTCAAGAGGTAGTCACCTGAAATGGTTTTCCAACAGTCTTGAAGGAGTTCCCAGAGGTGTTTAGCACTTGTTGGCCCCTTTGCCTTC